GACGCAAAGCCAATAATTAATGATCCACCAGTGACCACCACCAACTACTGCAAACAAGAGAACAAGGAGATGAGCCGGTAGTCGGTAGGAATTGCGAGGACACTCTAAATATATGAATATATATAAATATATATATTAGGTCATATGATGGAAGTAACTGGAGAACACGGTGTGAGTGCCACAGTTTGACTGCTTCAAACTGCGTCCTGGGTTGTCACATCCCCTGTAATAGTTGTGTTATCGTGCCCATTGACCCCATAGCGCGCAAAGAAGAGGCTGCTCTTTGGAGTAGCTCTGCAATGGGGAATAAATATGCGAAAAGTTTTACGATGCTCCGTTTACGACTCATATGCGAAGGACGCCTCGTTTTGAGGAAATCTTATTTGAAACATTCTCATGCATTGAATTTAAATGTGAATAAGATTCAAATTTTAATCCGTGCATTGTTAGTAATTAGTCTCTCTTGCTAGATTCAATCATATTGCTGGTATGCACACCATTTTATCATATCCAGGTTTTATTTTTTATTCTTCATATAAGAGCTAGTCAATTAATTTAAATAGATTAATAAACTAGTTAAATTAGTTATTTCTAATAAATATATGTTGTCTTTCTTAAAATATTTTTACTAATCAAGTATATTAGTTATAATTACTATTATTATAAAAACTACATTAAAAATTAAAAAATAAAAAGACAAAATGAATTAGGATTTTATATTTAGGATTAAAATAAAAATTAAATTAACTCTTATATTAAAAATTGAAATAATATCATTGTTTAATAGTACTTGGCTTTTTTATGTTACGTCGTGTTTCTAATTACAAGACTTTATTTATAAATTATAAATAAAATGTTATAATTAGATGATAGTGCATTTTTTTTTCATCTAATGGTCTAAACAATTACATCTTATATCAAACAAACAAAGATGGAAACAACTTCTTAACTGAGTTTATTTCTCTATATTTAATTCCATTCCGTTATCAAAGTGGGCCATTGGGAGTGAGCTTGGAATCCTAGCCCCTGATGGCGACACACTCCTAATCCCACAGTGTTAGCGACGACTGACGAGAAAGCTTTGGCGTTTTGCGAGTTCTGTCTTTTGGTTGGCAAACTAATTCTTACTTCTGATCACATCACTAAACAACGACCCCCGTTGCTGAATGCGACGTGCGATTCCAAGAATATGACCATTTAATTTAACACTCCCCATTTTCAATTCAAGGCCGATTTACTATTGTACAGTAAAATTCTGTCTTCAGTCCGAAACATGTACGGTAATAATACCAACGGATTAGAGATTTTTTTTCAGGTAAAAAAAAAAAAGAGTCAATCCCTCCCATCTTATTCTAAACATAAAAGTCAGTCCCACTTCTATAGGTTTGTTTAATTCCATATGACAAACAATTATTCTTATAAAATATTATTTTAATAATTTTTTCAATTACAATCTTAATCTTTATATTTTATTTTTAATATTTTATACTAAAGGAGACGGGAAGTTAACAATCAAATTCTTAACCACTTGTTTAAATAAAGGTGCCCTTGATCTCAGTACAAGGTAAGAAAAGCTTTAGCATCCGTTGGAGGAAAAAACACTACAATATCCCCTTCCTTATAAATTACTGGTCATCTAGTCATTAGTTTGGAGGGTAGTTTTGATTCTAAATATAAGTTATATTAAATTTACCTAACTAATAAATTAATATATAATTTAATATAACTTATGAATATTTTAAATGAATCAAATTATATTGGTTATAGTTAACTAATTTTTTTAATCTATTTAAATTAGTAAGATAACTCTTATACTATCCAGGAGCAAAGCACTGAAGCTAATCTGTGCTGCCCGATAATTTTTTTTTTGAAAAAAACTACATTTTTATTTGGGGCGAGGGAGAAAAACTGTCTTTTAATTTGAGATGCTAGATCTGACTTAGTCACTTATTGATTAATGCTGACTAGTTGCGCAAAAGAAATCTATCCACACCTTTCCCCGTCAAAACAATGAATAACAAACTCAGGTGAATTTGTCTTTCTTCGTGTCTCGACACTTTCTCAGTCTTACGCTAGGACTTGTACTAAGTTAATTAACTAATTTAAATATATTAAAAAATTAATTAAATTAATTATTTGTGATAAATAAGTATTCTTTTTCATAAAATATTTTTGTTAATTAAGTATATTAACTGAAACTACTGTTAGTATAAAGATTACATGAAAAAAAATCTTATATTTAGGATTAAAATAAAAGTGTAACTAGTATTTCAGTTTAATTATTTTATTTTTTTATACACAAAAATTTAAGGGAGTTCAGTCCCGGAGGTTCACCAGAGCCAGGACATACTTCCAAACTCAGAGAATACTTATAAAGGTTCTCACAGATCGCCCACCAATAAAATCCTCATAAGGATTCGAATTCACTACCTTATAAGTTATAAGCCGATTCCTTACTAATTAAATCAACTGGCTAATTATTTTATTCTATTTGGAAGGTAGTAACGTAGTATGTCCTAACAAACGTGCTAGCTGAATTAATACAGTCGCTAATGCATGGAGTAAAGTCTTATTGGTTTTGACAAACTGTGATCAATACCGGGCCGGAGATTTTTCCCCAAAAAGGACGAAGAATTTTTGTTAGCAGTGCAGCACGCCAAAAATAACGTGTTTCAAGTAATATTAATCATGATGGATGATTAACCAAAAATAATAATAATTACGATGAACTTGGGACTTGGGAGCACTCTGGACATAAATTTACAGAGTAAAAATGATTATAACCAAGGTTTTGCTATTTGTTTTTGCTGCGTTTGAATCTGGATGCATCAAGCAGCTAAGGATGATTGACGAGACCCAGTTCGTGTCAGAAGAAGAAGAACCAGCACAAGAAAGCGAACATGGTGACGACAACGACAATCAAAACCATGTCCAGTGCCTGATCCCTCCTCTCTTGTTTCTCCCTCCTGTCTCTCTTGACGGATAAGAACTCCTCGAACCTCGCCTTTGCTTCTTCCTCATTCACCTTTCTCCTCTTCCCGCTTTCAACCGCGCTCTGCAGAATCGCCATGCTCTGCTTCCCGCTCACACTCCTTCCGTCGGTGTCTTCCACCGTCAAGCTCACCTCTTTCACTCGCATCTCCCCTCCAACCTCCTCGCCGCACGTGCACGTCACCTTTATGTTGCATTGGACCCACTCCGACGGCCTTTCATCGCACGCGATCACCACCGCGTAAACGAGCTCCAGCTCTCCGGTCAACCAGTGACGCTGCGCCGACACCGGCCTGCGGCTCGACAGATTCGCCGCACGATTCCGGGATGTATCGATCAGGATCCAGCTGAGGCTCAAGTTTTCCTCCAGGTGCTTCATCCAATCCTCGTCCTTGCTGGCGTATTTAAGCGGCGTCGGAACAGATTCTTTCGCGCCAAGCAGGTCGATCCACAGAGGGGAGCACTCGAACCAACCCGTGTGAGTCTGGGTCCGATGGACTTGGAGAACATGGGCCTGTCATGATAATAAATATCCACGGCCGAAATCCATTCCTTTGTGGGGGTAAATGAAGGATCGAGATGATCGGGCCGGGAATAACGATGGAGGGTGGGGAAGGAGTCGAGGAAAAGGGAACGGTGGCCGGCGGGGAAGTCGGAGATGACGGAACGGAGACTGGGGTCACGGAGGGAGGGCCACGTGGCAGTGCAGATTTGACGCCAGAGAGAGTCGTGGAGGCACAGGCGGCGGAACAGAGAGGAGGCGAGAGGCGAGAGAGACGGACCGTCAGACGACTGAGGATGTGAGCGTGAAAGAGGTCGGGATGGAGAGTTGCGAGCGGTGCGTCTGAAGAAGAAGCCATAACTGTGGGATGAGAGGGAAAAATCTGATGGAGGGGCTTTTATAGAGGGCTCGTCCGCTTCGGCTGGCGGCAGAGGAAAAATCGTTTCGGATAAGTGGATAACACCTATTGTACGCGCTACGCTATGCTCTGCCGTTTCACGGGGATGACTATTCTTTCTTCTTTAATTATTATTGAAAATGACAATTATTTGTGTTAGATGGGCATCATTATTCTGCATAAGCTCGTTTCTTTTTTATCTCTGGGCCAAACTATTATTTTGGAAAATTTCAGGGTTTAATTTGCTAACTATTATTATTGATGTCAACTAACATATGCTGTAGAATAACATTAGATGCATGACCTTTAAAATCTATGGGTTATCTACGCAAGGCCAGCATAGGGTAACGTGCGGAATTGAAGGGAGTATGGAAGAGTACGTGATAGAAATTGTGCAGAAGAAAGCCTAAAAGCAAGTATAGACGGTAGGGTAGCGTAGACAGTGGAGTAACTAGAGTGCAGATTCCTGGTACAGATGAGGCGCGGGTGATGAATGGGGGTCGACGGCGAGTGTTTGTTCTGTCCGAAACGGACACATACTGGGCACACATCAGTGTTTGAGACATTAGTGGCTGTGGGGCTTTCCGGCGCCGGCCGGTGATTTCACCTACCCTGTAATAACACTAATGCTGTCGTGTCAACTTACGGGCGAGTCTTGTACATGTATCTTTGTACCTTGCTCCTGTCCTCTAATGAATGCCCCCATACCAGACACTGATCACAACCCTGTTAGCGTTTTTCACTCTTTTCCTCTTATTTCGTCATCACAAACACATGCCTACTTTTGGTGGCTCACAGCCAAGGTTTAATCACGTGTCGTTGTGGATAAATCCACGGGGGCTGCAGACGAGAGGCTGTGGTTATTATTATTATTATTTTGGCCAACTGGATATCTGAAGTTTAGTTGTGTGTTTTAGCATGAAAGCGGCACAACAAGTGGCCAGGTAAGTGAGGGGCAGAGGAAGCTCGGCTGTGGCCGGTAAGCCGTCGGGGCCAAGTTGGTTCCAAGTCCAGTTGAGACAACTTCCTTGTTGCTTAACCTAATCACTTTCCGCTTTAACTCCACGCCTGTCATCCAGTTTGTTCCCTTCACACTTCACACCTCGTCCTGTCTGTCTCCTTTATCTCTACTCTTCACTTGCCATGCACAAAGTCAGATCACACTTGTATCCTCGTTTCAAACTTTGAATTTAACTTCACCTGTAATATTGCAAACTCCCACTTTTTTTTGGATGGAAAACCATTACTTATATAAAAAAAATAATTCTGTACAGGCATGTCCCCCCCCATCTCAACGAATTTGATTAAGGTCTTGGTACAACTTAGGTGATATTTTAGCTTGGCGTGTGTAATATTGAAAAAATAATTATTTAGAAGGGAGAAATTAAAGAGCTGACCACGTTTATGCTGACTTTGTCCCCCCCGCAAAAAAATGTGTTGACCAACTCCCGGTGCCAAGTTGGCGCGATCATACTCATCATGTGTTAAAAGTAAGGCTCCACATTTGTTGACATTTTGATTTGACTTTTCCTACGCAAAATGGCATATTATCGCATCGTTTGCCATCATATCTAAAATTACTAACAAGTATGTTTTATATAAATTAAGACAAAACTCCCCTCACATACTTATCTCATATTCTGCAAATCACGATTAAAAAACTGGTTACAATTTATTCTAAATAGCCCTTATTCTCTGTTACTCATTCTTTCTTCCTCTCTTTTATTTTCTTTGTGCATGCATAGACTCAATTAATGTTGGCAAGGAAAAAAAAGAACTCACTTAATATTTTAATTCCAATGGCCGCCTCAACGGAATAGCCAATTCAACCCCTTTCGTCATCCGTAGTAATTGCTGCTTAAGTTCTCCCCACTCTCTCTGATCATCACCTTCTCAATTTTCTTTCAATTTGGCCCCCACAGTTGAAGCCTTCAATACCCCATTGTTTTGCTTCGAAATTCAAATAACGGCAGGCTTGTTACTACTATTCTCATTAAGTAAGCTATTAAATAACATATGATATAGCAAATTATTACCTCACTTGACTAAAATGTCGTTACGTTAATTCTATTGTCATTTTCTCACATTTATTCAACGATTAATTCCCTTATTCTGGCATTGGGCGAATGGTCCAATTATCATGGCCCGACCAGTCAGAAGGGACTATTCCCCAACACAGACTGGATGAGCTTAGCGACACTTCAGAAAACTCCGTCAACCATGCCCATTTGAATTCGTCTTCCGTCAACCGCTGGCTTTTTAATTTTTGGGCCTGGTTAAGTTTTCTTTTTAAAAGATATTTGGCAATCAGTGTATTATTTTGGGCGGAAAATGACAACTTGCCTCTATCCAAAATTCCAAACGAAATATCACTAATTGGGCTTATTATGGGGACGAAATATATGATAGGGCCTAAAAATCACATCTGGGCTCTGGGTCAGGGCCTGAATAATACGAGTTCCGGCCCATATCCATTTCTCACTGACTATCGATTCCGTTCTGTATAAATTGCGGCGCCAACCTGCGAAACCCTAGCTCTGCTGTTTTGCCTCTCTGGTACTTCTCTACTCTGTTTCTCTCCAAGCTGAGACATTGTAAACATTGTGGTCGTGAAACCTCTCGTGTGGCATAAAAACACTTGGAAAATCCCTTTCAATTTATATCTGATCATTTCTGTTCGTCCAACCTCAAATATGGGTGTCTCTAACCATTGTTTTTTTGTTTGTTTTTTTCCCGATTGTTATGTAACATTGGGCAATTTGTTTGTGCCACAATCGTGGCGTTGATATATGAATGTTTGGTTTTTATTTTTGATCTAATTCGTTGCAATTATATTTACAGGAGTGAGATCTGGAGCTTCTGCGCTGAAAAGGCACAGCTTAGAAGATGAGGTATTTGGAACTTCATTCTCCACTCGTGACATTCCTATTTTCATTTTTCTAGTTTGTCTTGGCAGTCTTCAAACACGCGTTGTCCTAGTATCTCTTGGTTGAAACATCACGTTCACCGTCTGTTTAGAATGTCACTGTTTGATAACTTCTCAAATTTGCATTGTTGGAATATTCGACTGTCTTTCGTTTTTGTGAGCACTCTGTAGGTTCACTATTTGCACTGCTGGTTCCAAACACTTGTTTTGGCATCCATTTACGTCTTAGGTCATGCGTTTTAACATGAGAAGCATAATTGGACTGAGAATTTTTCGGTGTGGATTGTTGCGCTTGACTATTCGGTTTCCTTTTACGCTATACGGAAATATCTCAGTTTCAATTTTTGGGTTGACCGTGCAGTAAGCTTCAGAGCGATGCCCTGAGGGAAGCTATCTCACAAATTATGAATGATTCCAAGAATGCAAACCGCAAATTTGTCGAGACCATTGAACTCCAGATTGGTCTGAAGAACTATGATCCACAAAAGGATAAGCGATTCAGTGGTTCTGTGAAGTTGCCCCACATCCCTCGCCCTAAGATGAAAATATGCATGCTCGGAGATGCCCAACACGTTGAAGAGGTATTAATTTCGTTCACTAGACAAACTATTGAATCAGTGCTTTTTATTCCTAATTTTTCTCACCACATTGTTTGAGAAGGATGATACTTGGGATGCGTGTTTAATGCTGTTGCAACTCAACTAGATCTTTGTTGTACAGTTGGATGCTGGTGCACTAGCATCTGGCACTTCTGCTTGTTTCAGGCTGTTCTAATTTGTATAGTTGGTATCTTTTTTTTTTTTTTTTTTTGCTACCGGCTTTTCTTTTGAGCATAGTAGTGAATTTTGTACTCTATATGTATGATATATAACCAATGTAATTATGTAGGCTGAGAAGATTGGTTTGGACTGGATGGATGTGGAAAGTTTGAAGAAGCTAAACAAGAACAAGAAATTGGTTAAAAAACTAGCCAAAAATATCACGCCTTTTTAGCATCTGAAGCAGTCATTAAGCAGATTCCTCGTCTTTTGGGTCCAGGCCTTAACAAGGCAGGCAAGTCATTTATCTGGACTCACAAGCATAAATCTCATGATCTCTGAGGGCATAAAAATCTGTACTATCTTGTTAAAGCTCAAGTTTTTTTTTTTTTGGCTTGCATAGATAGACTCTTTTTACTTCATATCACTAATTATGTGTATTATTCGTATGACAATGTAGGGAAATTCCCCACACTTGTTACTCACCAAGAATCCCTTGAGTCAAAGGTTAATGAAACCAAGGCCATGGTAAAATTTCAGCTAAAGAAGGTTTTGTGTATGGGAGTTGCTGTGGGTAATGTTAGCATGGAGGAAAAGCAAGTCTTCCAAAATGTGCAACTCAGCGTTAACTTCCTTGTCTCCTTGTTGAAAAAGAATTGGCAGAATGTGAGCTATCTTGCCTTCTTTGCACGAACTAGATTACTGCTGCATTGAATTGACCTATTACTTGTTTCCCTTTATTATCTGCATGTTATCTAAGCATAAGCGTAGAACTCTGGAATTGCGGTCTGCTATGATAACTTATTTGCAATTTGCAACGTGACGCATCTGTGTTTTATCATAAGATTACTTGAAAGTCAAAGGTTACTTGGCAGATCTCTAGGACGTTTTGAGCTTGTACATGAACTTGAACATGTGCTTGGATCCGTCATCTAATGAGTTGAATTTACGTGGATTTCAGGTTCGGTGCTTGTATCTGAAGAGCACCATGGGAAAATCATACCGTGTCTTCTGAGGGCTTGGATTTTGGGAGGCCGCTGTGGCGGTCAAGATTTTTTTAATTATCTAGTTTAAGCCAACAGAGGGACGAGTATTTGAATTTTAGTTTTTTTTTTGAAGAAATACTTTGTATTTGGATGATCGTTTCATTCGATGAAATACTTGCTAATTTTTGGTGTTCATGGTCTTATATTATTTTTAGCAACATTGAGAAGGTTTAGTCGTGGTGTTTTGGTATCTTCCACATCTTTGGTTCCAACTCGGCTGATAAATTGTTTTTTGGCCAACAGTAACGTTGTATCACCTGATTTGTTGAGGAATCATGGATATTCATCAACTTGATGCAGCCAAAAAATTTATAAATTTAGTTATAAATATATAACTGATACTCTTTGGATCCAATTGTTCAGTTGGTTTTGGTTCTAAATACAAGATTTATTTCTTATATTAATCAATTTTTTCTAAATGATCCCTATAGATATTCTCTTAATCATAATCAAGTAAAAGCGGAAAAGGAGCTATTAAAAAAAATGATTATGGTATTTTAAGAAAAATATGTTGCATTTTTTGTAATTAACTAACTTAAGTAACTTTTTTAATCTAATCAGATTAGTTAAATAAGTTTTATATTAAGGACCGGAATAGTATTTTACACGGATAATATTTAAAACTATTGACAAACGAAAACAAAGGCATATTTGCCTTCTTTTTTCTTCCCCCAAAATTCTTCAGGAATATGCTAATAAATTTGTTACTCAAATTACACCAACCTATTTATTTGATAATTTATATTATTTTGCCAACCAAGAACTTTATCTAATTTTGATTAAAAGATCTGGTTACGCTTGCAAATAATTATATGAATGTTCTTTCGCTAAAATAAATCTAATTATAATTATTTCTTTTATAATACATATTCTAGATATTCTAATGATTTATTATAATAAATCTTTTTTTTTTCGGTGAACTGTGTTAATATTTAATACATCTTTTCCTTTTTAGTAAAAGAACATGCTGTTTTGATGGATAAACATTTTGACAGCCACTACTAAATTTGAACCCCGAACACATTTTTGTTAATAAAAAAAGTGTTTCGGAATGACCACGTTCCCCAAAACGGCAAAACCAGACATCATTTTTGAAGGGTGGTCGTTTTTGAAACATCGCACGATAAAATCATCAGGAATAATGCGAAATTCATTTAACTTGTTAGTCCACTCATTTTCAAAACGGTCCACCCCCCATGCAATACTCACGAGGTAGACGTTTCTGAGGACAAAAGCGGCATTAAAATTTCATAGTTAACTGCGATCAGCGAATCTGGCCAAAAAACCAAGCTGCAACAAACGAGGCCAAAAGCCCAACACGTGCTGATTTGCCACCGATGTCCGTTTCTTAGCGGAAACAAAAAAAATGAGATTGATTATCCATTATACTTGCATTGTGCAGCATCGTTTTCTTTGGATCTGGTAGCTCTATACACAATCTTGAACAAACCCCAACATCCCCCCACCCCACGGGCGCCGGGGCCCGGAAAAAAAATAAAGAAAAGCTCAAGGACACTAGACAATTGACATCTGTAGATTAGAGAATTGTTCCAGTGAAGCACCATAATTTGCGAAGTCAGTGCAGTAATATGCTCTTACCGTCAGGGTTCCAGTATTTCGTGGCGAGTTATATGTCACTGCTGATAAGGCGGCCTTTTGCAATAAAATTCGTCCTCCGGGATGCTGCTGCTGCTTCTAACTAGCATCCGCCTTGTAAAAACATGGTGACATTCAGATATTAGCGGGACCCAAATAATCATCAGCCACAGCGTTCAGCACTCAACCAAACTTGCAAATTAAAGTGCCTAACTGATGCATCTGAAAGCCTTAGGACGAGTGAAGCCTGGCCTATCTATAGTAAATGTATGTAAAACAACCCCCCCCCCCGGGGGAAAAAAAAATCTCTAGAATGATAAAACCTCCTGACAGTCACGATTGGTGAGCATTGAGCAGCGCTTTGTAGACCATGTCAATGAATTGATTGTCCTAAAATACAGCAAGAAAAAATTCACTTAAAAAGGAGACAATAAGAGGGACAAACGGATATGGGTACATAAACAGGATGCAAGAAAACATGACAAGCTCATTCCACATTATCTACATTCAAATATTCTCATTTGATATAATAGTAGTCAGAAATTCAGGATATCATACGCTTACTACAAGCAAGTGAACTGACCTGAACAAGCACAAGAAGAGCATCTCGGACCTTTTCTCTGGTAATAACTGGACCATGGTTTGTATGAGGAACAGAAGTAGGAGTAAGGGACAGGGGGGGAGTTGGTGGTGGGAATGGCTGTAGCAGTGGAGCACCATATGGGCGCTGCATGCTGAGAACGGTATGAGGTGGAGGGACAGCTGCCGTGGACAAAGACACAGGAGGGGTCATCACTGTTGAAGAAGGTGTAGGGACAAAAAATGAAGGCTTCACAAGATTGGTGGTTTGGTTGCTGCTGCTGCTGGAACCAGGAGTGTCATGGTGAGAGATTAGAGATGCAGATGATGAATGAGAGGGCAGCTGCAAGGAAGGAGCAACTGGAGTAGCTTCACTGATCGGCAGAGAGGTAGAAGGAATTGTAGCAGACGACTGGCAAGATCGTGTTGTAATTGGAGCATTTGCAGTATTCCCAATGGTCATAGCAGCCTGTAACAGTGAAGCAGAAAAACATATCCTAATCGAACTGAGTACTAGATGTTCAACGTCTAACTACAAACTGTCAACAATACTTGAGGGTCGAACAATTCATATGAGTAGCCTATACAGGAAAGAAATTCACGAAAATGTCTGGTCAGTTTCCAACGTAGTATGTCTAACTAATATTGATATCCTATGAAGTTGTTTAGGTTAACCTGGACCACTGTTACCCTTAAATACATACTGAAAGGAAAGTTTTCTATGATACGTACACTGAAGAAATTTACAAAGGAAAGATCATCCGATACATCAGCTGCATTCAAAGTGGTTGATGGCGATGGCTCAAGAGGACCATCCATGACTGCGATAGTTGGCACTGCTTCCAGCTCCTCAAATTCACTGCAAGAAGATGCCCAAATACCACACATTGTCAAGTTTCCAGTCCAAGATATGGGTGAATTGATGATTAGTGTACACTACAACAATATCATCAACAATGATAATGATGACGACAACAATGAGGGAAAAATTTAGACCTCAGGTATTTGCTGTAAAATTCTCCAATTAAAAATATGAGAAAAAAGTAAACTGGCAGAAATTGACAATCTATAGGGACAAGATAGGCATGTATATTTAGCAACCACAGCGAAGGAAGGTGGGCATATTGATGTTTGGAAAAGATACATTTGGATGGAGGTTAAATTTAATAAATCTGCTTTGAAGGCTAGGAAGTAGGGAGGGGGGGTGGAAGGTGAATAATATCATAAATCATGGCTCTGGGCAAGACCATTCTCTACCTTCAATAGAATTAAGGAAACTTTCATTAATAATGTACTAGTAGATCCTCTGATTGCATACTTTGTCAAATGGTCAAACCAAGCAACACCTTTTATCACATCACGTCATATTATCTAGCGCATAGACATTAGTCTGTTGTAAGGGATGACTTGAAGTTTTTTTCAGTTTTCTTTTTCTAAACATGAACTAGACCACCTACCCCACACCTTGGGGGAGGCATTGAGTAGTGGCAGAGGTTCATCTGAATAGGAAAACGCATATTACTACCTCTTCGTAGAAGAGACCTTCGACTTTTGAGGAACTTTGGAATAGGCACTAAGGATCCTGAAAAATATCCAAAATATAAGAGAATATCCATGTTACATGAGAATTAAAGGTCAGTAGAATAGTTAATAAAAATTTGACCAGGTACAAATCAACAAATATTCTTGATACATAACCAACTAATGCTATTATTAACAACTATGAAAACTCATTCTTCATATTATCTCCCCCCTGCCATTCACCAATATCCTTTGATCAAACTAGTAACTTCTGTTTCTTAGACAAAATGTCAGGTAGCACAGGTCATTGCTGCCATGGATGAGGTTACTGGTTGCTAGCAAAAATTGATTTTCATCATTCACAGGTGTATAACATTGTTATCATTTCCAGAAATTATCTTAAGGCTAACGTTGTCCATATATATTGCTGATATTGTTATAAGCTAGATCTTCTGCACTTCAAGTAACTGACACTGCTCCAGTCTCATTATGCATTGTCCAATAGAAAATATAACTCTTATGTCAGCATAAATCTATAATCCACCAAGAGGAGCGAAAGAAAAAGAACAGACACCACGTATCAAATTACTAAACAGAACGATATCAATAATTTTCAACCCCATTAATTGAGTCAGAAAAATGAGATTGAATGTAATATAAACACCCCATTGGTCAATAAAATCTTAGTTGAACCACATTTTTTATTAGGAATGGCACAGACCAGAAGTAATTACATCAGTGTCTGACTTTCAAGAGTAATAGAGAAGGGGTAAAAGGCATGCCCTTGTCACAACAAGAAGGCAGAAATTCAATCCACGAGGACCCGACCAATGGAGATTGGGCAAGTGACTGCATCCGAGTACGAACAATACCTGTTAAAAAGATTTGCCACCTCTTCACATTCCTGAGCATTGTAGAACCATACACCATTCACTTCTTGATTAGCATTTCTATATAGCAGATATGGAACCTGAACTTCGTACTCAAAATCTCCCAAAAGATTCTCCACCAAGTTTTCTGCTTATGACAACACGAATCTCTTATTCAAGCATTATACTAGGCTTAAATCCAAGTCGCATATAGAGAGAAGTAGCACAAGCATAATATATTTTCCCATTGAAACAAAATAGACATTTTTACAAACCACACACTTCATGTTTTACTATACCCATAACATTGGGTATGCGAAGCAAATTCTGGATTTCTAATAGCAAATCCTAGCCCTATTCCTAAAATTTAGGCCCAAAGAAAAATCCGATTACACAAATATCATACCTTACACAGGCAAAAATAGAGCAACAACCCGAAAGTTCAATCAAGACAAGAATAGGGCCGGTATATGACAATAAGAACTCTAACTTTCTGACGACTAATGCAACAAGTTGAACTTTTGCCGGTGAATGAGAGATATTGCATTTTACACCCGAGCGCGCACTATAGATTTAGCATCAAATTGAAGCACACACAGTCATAGAACAAATATTACAAGTATATTATTTAATGGCCTATAGGTTAGTTTATAAACTGAATCCAATAGAAGCAATGCAGGAGCCATACCTACTAAGCAGGGAAAGAAAGCTAATTGACGAGTACAAACAAATGCATATCGAGTCCCTAACCGGTATTAAGACGATTCATCACAATAAATTGAAATCGAGGTTGTGTGTTCCTGAAATAAGACAAAATTTACAATGAAAGGCATAAGTAATAAATAAGCCATAGAGAAATGCGCAACACAAGGTAAAGCCAACATAACACAGAACTCAGCTTTTCATATAACTTTTTAATAAGCTCATGAACGTTGGATAAGCGGACCATAATAATGAAATATAAATCAACTGACCTCTTAACAACGAAGAGAGATCCTTCAACGTCCTTGCGGCTCTGCAAACCAATCAAACAGAATTTGGAGGGAAAAAAAATTAAGAAAAGAATCAAAGGGAGTGCCAGAACAAAATTCAAGAAATGCAGACTTTAGAAGATGTGAAGTTAGCGAACCCATCGGCTAAGATCGATGTTAAACTCATAGAAGGTGACATGCGCAGCGGTGATGAGAATTTCGTCGACGAAGGGGTCGATCCTTTGCAGAACAGTGAGATTGAGAAGCTTGGTACTCTGCTGATCCAGATTCGGCATCAGCTTGCCGTTCTGAGACATTTTCGTATATCTCTAGTACACAAACCCTAGAATTGGGAGTTCATAGACGTCGAAGCCAGAGCAAAACCGAGACAGAGCGGAGCGATGCAGGTGAACGATTTGAGACGAGCGGGCTCGGCTTGCCGTCGAGGCGCTAGCGCGCTGCATAGTCAATGACGATAATTATAAGTTTCAAGTTTGGAACAATGACAAAAAAATGAACCTATATTTTGTAAATGTCAAGCAATATTAATAAAAATTTATTTTCATTTATAAGTTTAGATTTGTTAATACTAAATAAAATTATATTATCAAACCTGGGATTTGCAATTTTCATTTTTTTTTCTGTCATTCTTTCTGTAAGTTATTTTCTTGGAAAAGTCATTATTCTCACAAAAAATAATCATTTAATTTCTAAAATTTAATTTGGTGCCCGAAAGAAACCTATTATCTATCTTCTTTTTTTTTTGTCAGAGTTATTATCTATCTATTATCTATTAGTTACACAATAAGGAGATTATAAATCAATATCTCTATTAATTATTTTTTCTGAAAATAAAAAATTGCAAAATAAGATCTTAAAAAAAATTACATATAGAAACACGTTACAACATTAATAGTATTGGTTTTGACAATAATTAATAAGTAAATGATAATAATTTTCATGAACGGGTGCCCTGTATACAATTTAAAAATTTTTAATATCTATTTTTTGTGATTTTTCCTTTTGAATGAAAATGTGTGGCCATTAAAATAAATAAGTAAAATTTTAAAAAATTGAGTTAAATGAATTAAGTTTCATGAATCAAGTTATGCTAGTTTAATTGAAATATAAAGACTGAATAAAGAGGTGCCCTACTCATTAAATGAATACCTTGCTCAATTTTTGTCAAAGCAAGATTAATTAGGATTATTTATTAAAAAAATAAGCATCTGATATGTTTTTTTTTTTTTTTCCACCAACAGCATTTAATGATTGATATTCTGGGGACACAACTTTCAAAACAATTATGTTCAGGACTAAAGGTGGTGTAAGATTTTTGTTTTCAAGTAACCATGTATACGGTTTTCGAACACCTATATTTCGGATCGATTAATCCAATTTTTAGATTATCAGTCTTAAAATGAAAGTAGTTATATTAAAATAGGTATAATAATAGCAGTAACAGTTAAGGTTAAAAAAAATTATATAAGACCCAAGTGATTAATTTAAAAAAATTAAGAAAGCTAAAAGATTATCTAATTATAACATGATTTCTCTAAGTAAGGTAAATTAATTTTGAAAAAATAATAAATATAATATTTTAAAATACTCCTCTGGTGCTTAATGTATAATTTGAGAATTAAATATTAGTTTTATGTGTAAGACTTAGTTTACATATTTATTAACTTTTCTCAAATTATTCCAATTAATTTTTTTTTAATAATAATTCAGAAGGATATGGAAAGAAGAGTTGGCACCGAAAAAAGGAAAGGAAAAAAATTAAAAAAGATAATTAAGATATTTTTAAAAAAAACACATCATATTAACTAATTTAACTTACTTAATTTACTCAAATTAGTTCATATAAAAAAATGATTACAATATTTAAAAAAAATTATATTAACTAATTTAACTAACATAATCAACTCATTAGTTAATTAGATACTCCCTCTGTTCCTTATTATAAGAGACAAATAACCGAAGTACGTTGATAAAAAAAACAGTTTAAATTAGTTAAGAACAATTAATGTGTAAAAAGTATAATTTTTTTCCAAAAATGCCCTCATTAATAAGGAAAGAGAGCATGAGAGAGAACAATTAAATTATTAAAAGAAAGAGAAGTGGGAGGGAGAGAGAGTGTGAGTTGGAGATAATAAATATGGGTAAAATAGTAAATCAACACAAAAAAGTAGAAACAACTTGTAAGTGTCTCTTATATATAAGAACATGCTATAAGCATCAAATGTCTCTTATAATAAGGAACGGAGGGAGTATTATATTAAGAATTGAAGGAGTAATTTTTTTTTTATTTCTCTAAATTAATCAACTAAATCTTATATTAAAAAACAAAAAGTAAAAGTTTTTTGTAAATGACTTCGCCATTGATATCAAACGAGCAAATTACATCAATCCGAGCTTTCTGTACAATCACAGTTCATTTTATTTTTATTTTTTAAAAAATATCGCCAAGCCTTGGGATAGTTTTTTTTTTTTTTGACCGGAAAGCCTTGGGATAGTTGATTACTCGTATCTTGGTAGTTGGTGATATATATATTAATTAAAATTAACTACTAAGATGGTAACAAACGCCAAATGAACTACGAGTAGTATGCTACAAGGAGATTTATTGGAGTCATAAGGAGATGAGAGGGGCATAGGTTGAGTTTCGCTACAAATACAATAGAATTATTGGGTGGCCTTGCCTTTTCGTCTGCTGCCGCTGCCAGTTTCCAAGAGGTAACAAACCACAGAATCAACATCATCCCCAAATATGCTAAATGCCTTAATCGCCTGCACATAGCTGAATCCCATCGATAGCACCATCCGCATACTGCCGCTCATATCACCGTCTTCCTCTTTCCCGCCTTCCATCTTGCTCTCACTCCCACATGATCCTGCCCATTCCCATTTTTCATAGTTAGAAACTTAGAATAGCTCTCTCAGAGGAATGTATCATCAGGATGATAAAGATACTAACTCGCGCCAGAAGATGACGGCTCTGCTTTTGATGTAGAGGATCCTCTGCGGCCTAGCTGTTCATTTGCAAGATACTCAGCCCGAGAAACTTCCATCACCGTACGCTCCATTTCCTTCTCCGTGAGCTCCAGATCAGAGTAAAACCGTCCCTCAGCAATAAGCGCCTGTTGAGAGAAATAACACACCCAAGAAAATCATGTCATCAAAATCAAATTACGCAACCCCTAGTTCACCCCCTTAAAATTTGAAGTGCTTACGTTATCGATCTGCTGGTCCTGTTGAGCTTTAATAGCAGCCTTGATTTTATCTTTGTCAACATTAATCTGCATTGTAAATAGGGTCAGTTCCATGAGGTTTTTATAGAATTAAATTTAACGCAGAATATAATTTTCCAATAGGCTGAGGAACCTAAATTCTTCATGTTTGATCAGGATATAATGTAGGAAAAAAAGAATACCAAAGAGTGACCATAACTAGTCATATTATAGTTTTATCGAGAGAAATTATACACACCCCTCTCAGACAGCTGAATCCAAGTCCTGAGCCAATTGTCAAGCGTCGTGGGTCAACAAGGGAGTTGTAATGATTCCCTTGATGATAACTCAATCGTATTGGTGGCGTGTCAGTGTTATAGCTTCCTTGGAAGATATTAAGAGGTTCTGCACCAAACGGTTGATGTCATGATATAGTACATAACTCACCAACAACAATGACATAGAAAGGAAAAAAAAAAAAAACTAGTCTTCCGGTTCTAAACATAAGATCCATTTTGTAATGTAATATTACTCAGACACAAGCTTTACCAGTACTGTAGGAATATATATGAATGGGCCGATTATACATTTCACACATGGCTTGAATCTCAACGTTGTTTCCATAGACCTGGCAAGTAGGGTGAACACATCATTATATGCAAGCTCAGAATATTCAACTATTTATCACTCAGCACATAAAACTAGCTACAAAACCGGATATTTTAACAGATTAAAAATATGGATGACTGATTTTAGATAAAGGAAGATAGCATTTCATCTTCCAGCACTCAAGTGTTGCTTGTAATTATGTAGCATCAGCATTATCATTTAAAGAAAACATTAACACAAGACATGGTCAATCTGCATGCAACTTATCTTTCAGGCCATACGAACTATTCAACCATAAAAGAAGGCACTTACAACTACTTGTTGGAAAGGGAATAGATATCCCCTATGCGCCATGCATTTGATTTTTTACCAAGTGCATCCGCATTCAGACATACTTCGGGGGGGCATGTTCACAAGAGTAAGCAGAATTGCATACTGCTAGGCTCTAGACTGAATACCAGGGGTACTTGACAGAATCCCCATTACTTCCCTCAACGTGTGTCAATAACAATGAAGATTCAAGATTTTCCTTTATCAGAAAAGGCTAAAAGCATGGATAATTACCCCCCACAGGGACAACTAAACACTAAAATTAACGGTCATCCTACAAAAGATAACGTTGGCATTCCAGAAAAATAAATAAATAAATAAATAAGCCAATAGTCTGAATGGGGTGCCCTAATGTCTTTAAAACTAAAGCAACAAGGCTTGGACACAGCCTGACTTGTACAGAAGAAACAACTAAATGTCAATTCTAGACAGGATTAGTTAAGATACCATAACATCAAGGAATAAACAAGTTAAACAACTTTAAGAATTAACAATACTCATCTGTCAAATAACTGTGACGAGAGCCACCGTCCTAAAAGACCATGCAGACGTGTCCAGAAAACAGAATAAATTTTCTTCTTACATTAGATTGGTTGATTTTCTTTAAGGTTTTAGTTGTATAAACTACGCATAAAGAAGCCACCTACAATTTGAGCTTCCTGTAAGAATGTGGAGAAGAACCAAAAACGAATGGTTCCACCAACTAAAAAATAACAACGGAAACCTACTACTAAAATACTCGTTTTTGCAACAATGCTAAACCAATTAAGTCATTAATCAATTATCAACTATATTTTTAAAATCTCGTATTACCCGATTCATTTAAAATGAGTAGGGTATAACAATGAAATCTGAATATATTCAATTAATGAAATTTGAATAATATTTTGATTAAAATTTGAATATATTGAATTAAATAGGAAGCATTATAATTAAATAAGATTTCAATTAGAGACTTCACAGGAAAAAGTAATAATTAATTTCGGGTTTAAATGTATTAAATTAAATATAAGTATTGTCCAATTTCAAATCTAATCAAATGGGAGAAATTTCTAGTTTGCCCACAAGTTGTGTGGTCCAAATGCAGATAAAAAACACTGTTTTGAAATCCGCATGTTGAAGATACTTCAACTAGGTCGTCAAAGTAATGACTGTACAGGTTCATCTTCAGAAATGATAAACCATCGTCAATATAATTTTTAGAAAGGTTAACTCTTCTAAAACTAAACAAATCATATTGTATCTATCAAAATATGCCCTCCACCTCTGCATATTGTTACTTATAGGTCTAGAATATATCTGCTTCTTCTGTTCGTACAAATAGGATTCTTCCATTCATTAACGAAACCAATCTTCCAATTTAAAACTCATGATAGAAATTTCCTCCTAAACAGCAGTAGAATCAGCAGCAAACATTGCACATGATACATAGCGAAGAATAGAAGGGAGAAGCTAAATCAAACAGACCTAAACGCAAAAATTAAGATTACTGCTAGTATATGAAACATATATATACCTTATCTCTTCTCTTCCTTTTGCAGTAAGACGTAAAGCCTTCGGTGATAAATTGGGAAAAGTGATCTCTTTCACGCTCCTGATACAGAACCAGAAATAATTAAGTTCAATAAAGCTGCAATCAATATGGGTTAGAAACACGGATAAGTGTAATTCATGCGGCGCAAATATGGTCTAGTGTAACAATCGAAGGGAGTTAAGTGAGAATGAGAAAATCTCTCCATTAAAATCTGAACAAAAAAATTTTACACTAGGTTTCTTGAATTAGTTTTGTATCCCGTCCAACCTGCACTAAAGGACGTTGCACTATAAAACTGTCCCAAGTTTACCCACCATTGTTCATCATATTGTTACCATTTATCACACTACTTTATACAGATATAAAAGCAGTCTCAGCTCTGACCTTGCCTTCTACAGCCCAAAAAATATGAGCTTCCATCCTCTCTTATGCATTCGATTTTCTTCAAATCTTATTGCTTTGCCCCCAAAAAGAATGAAATAATTAATTTTTGTAATGTCTAGAAAGCCAAGCACACACATTGCACAAACTGAAACCTGAAAGCCTAACCCTCTATGACCGGATGAGTGGTCAGTAAACCCCACAACAAACCTTAAATTACATACCATAATACTATAACCTTGGAACCCTAGAATGAACAAATTGAAGGTAGCTCATATTCATAAATGTGCATGTGTATTACAAAGGCATCATACCATGTAATCCATGCACATCTGTCTGGTCAAATCATACAATTCAGGGTCCCCATACACCTGATCTGCAACTGCACGGAAAAGACAATTTCCATCCCCCGCCATTCTTTTTACTTCATAACCTTTTGCCCTTCTGATATCAATTTCAAACTGTCGCTCTCTTTCCTGAATAGATGACGATATCATTTCAATATCAAATAATTTTTTCGGTGAAATCTGTCAAACAACGAGTTGATAATTATGGAACGGTGAAGATTTATTTACTTCTCAAGAAGGATTATAATGAACTTACTAAATTATCATATGACGATACAAAGCAGGAACTCTGTTCGTCAGCACTATTGTACCCCTCATTTTCATTATGAGACCTGGGAGAAGATGGACGGGATCCAGCGGGTGAAGTCCTAGCTGAAACAACAGGTCGTGCAGATCCTCTTCTAGGTGATCCTATATGGACAGCATTTGAATTTCCAGACGCATTTCTCCTTGAATTCAAGTTAGCAGCAGAAGGTCTTGGGGGTGGAACCGGAGGAGGTGGCGGATATGAACTACCGCTTGCAGTAAGCGAAGAATCCTCCTTTGAGATCTCGTTTTCTCTTAAATTTCTCAGTCCACTCAACCCTTTCATTATTTCTCCGAGACCACTAACCTCCTCTTTAACAGTCTTGTCATCAGTTATTTCATCACTTAAGGTGTCGGTCTGATCATTATGGAGACTTTCTGTTGAAAAGTTATCACTTTGCGGCTTACTATCGTCAGTCCCAGGACAATCCGAAACCTCGTCACCAACAACTAGGTCCTTTACCTCTTCTCCACTATTCTCATCTTTCCCAACTGAAGAAACGGGAGGAACAGCAACCTGTGGCTCTGCTCGAACAGATGAAGACCCAGGCGAGGAAGAAGAACGACTTGAGCTTGAAGAAGAACTGCCCGAGGAACCCCGCTGAACCAAAATGCGAGTCATTGCAATTAATTCTTCTTGTCTCCAACAAACCTGAGCCCAATCTACTCACGAATTTAAAGACTCAAACCCCTACACATCAGTTTGTCGCGTGTTCTCGCCTTGGGCGCAGTGATACCAATCCCTCGGCTGAATGACTTCTTCCAGCCCAGTGCGTTCAGCTCCTCCCAAAGCGATCTCTGCATTCCCCTAACAATTCTCATGAGACCCAGACCTCGAACTTTAAACAATAAAACCTTCTTAAGTAGTCGAAATTACCCAAAAATAGCGACAAGAAACAATAAGCTTCACGAGACTTATCTGCATAAACACCACCAATTTCCCAAGAAATCAAGATAGAAGAACATTTTTCCATCAAATCACATATATTAGTCGATTTTAAAGAATAACACGGAGGATGAGAAAAGCTTAAAAGAGAATTCTTGGAAAACAGCCTGCAAAAAGAGGAAATAAACAAAGAAGCCCGGACTCGTATCCTTCTAATCGCAGTAACCAAACAAATTAAACACGGAGAAAGCACAAGAAATCAGATGAAGAAAGGAAAAAAGAAACGGACCCGATAATAATGAATCTCAGACAATCGACGAAAGGACAAAAAGAACACAATCCAGAACAAGAAAAAGGAAAAGAAGCAAACATGAAGTGGGAACCTCTATGATTGACTCAGCATGGAAAAAGACAACTCACCTGAGAGAGAAAGGGAAGACGGAGGAAGCAGGAAATGCGTGAGGAAGACGTGATGAAAGGTTTGGAAGAAGAGTAAGAGCAGGAAATGGGATAATTAGGGTTTAGGCAGAAGGGAAGGGGCAGAGGGAAAATGAGAAACTTGGAGGGTAAGGATAGAATTATAGGGAGAGAAAGAGAACAGAAAGGAAGAAAGGTGGGAGCGGGGGAGGGGGGGAGGGGGGGGGAGGCTAGAATTTAACGGTGAGGGAAGAGAGAGAAGGCCACGTGAGATGGAGCAATGGGAATGAGGTTGGCCTGGCGACATGACGATGAACTTACAGGTGGCGAAGGGAGCATGGTTGGTTGCACGTGCGAGGTTCGGAGTCACATGCAGCGTTGGGCTCGGCCTGGCCTTCTCACAACACTACACAACCGCTACGTGGCGGCATTCCACCGTTCTCCTCATCCGAACCATCGCGTCACGAAGAGGCTTCTCTTCTCTTCTCCTCCGCCGCCGTATCCCACATCACTGGCAACCGGTGAGTACATTGGTTTCTAAAATTTGTTTTATTTTTTAAACATTTTCTTATAGGAATGTGATAGTAGTGTTTTTTTTCCTAGTTATATATGAAAATTTAGTTTTATACTATCTTTGGATATTTATATCGTCTTTCTTGAACCCTCCTGCTTATAAACAGGGAAGCAGGAATGATGATAAATCAGGTTTTTGTTGGGCTCGATGTTTTGTTTGGTTTTGATAAAATAATATTTATAGTTATTAATATCAATTCCTTTTGAAGATAACGAATCGATCTGCACTAGATATTAGCACATTAATAATAAAAGTTAAAAACTAAATGCCCAATTATGATAGCAAATGAAATTTATTAATCTATTGTATCATTTTAGACAGCAAACAAGCATATCATCATTCTTATATGGTCTGTAAGCTATTAATGATTGCTGTCGTTTTAAAATAGGATTACAAAAAAATGGGTGAAACAGTCTTAATCACTGATTATAAAACTTCATAGCCCACATGCAGCATTTCCGGCTCTCGGTCGTTGAACTTAAGAATAGATACTATATACAGGATCCACGCCTTAATCATTGATTATAACCTCAAACATGCGCTGACACACACAAGAAAATCAGGCCTTAATTATAAAGTGAACAATCCACACTGAAATTACAAATGACAACACCATGATGACGAAGGTCCAATTACACAGAACGGGAATATAATTATCAGTATCTCTTGAGAGCCAAAGAGGAGACGAGGATGAGGCAGAGGAAGGAAAGGACGGCAATGAAAGAAACCACCACCGCCTGGCTCGCACCCGCGCAGAAGTCTGTGAATTGCGAACATACCTCCATCCAATTTGCATCTTGGCTCCCATTATGTATCAAGTATGTTATGGCCGCCGCCGACGAAGCACCCGCCGTCACCAACGCCATCATCACCTGCACCCACGCATTGCCTTTTCTTTTCAGTCATCACAGATATTGTTTACTGATGAGAGATATTGTCTCAAGTGCTGATAACTCTGGTGTATGAAATGTCAGCAACATGAGGTAATGGAGAGGATAGTAATGAGAAGAGAGCACCGTGCGTTGAACAAAATTATGGAGCTTACTGAGTCCAAGATTACAAGTAGAAGCCTGGGTGCTACGACGAGGGGTCGAACAATGCACACGATCGAGAATGCCAGGGAGAGTATAAGGTATCCAGCTGCTGCTGCATTTGCTACCACAAAAAACCTGCATTATGCATGGGATGATGAAATTGAAATATTCCCCAAGCCAAAGATGAAAATTGAAAGAAGTGGGTGGAGGATGAAAGAAAGATGCAAGTAACTACTGGAACATGCGAAACTGGTCCCACTGAGCGTGGAACTGGAGGAACTGAGTGAAAAATGGAAGAATCTGCTCGTTGGTCCCCATGAGGGCGGCGGCGCCCATGGAGGCTCCGATCGTGCCGAGTCTGAGGACGAAATCTCCGATGGCAAGGCCCTTTTTATATTTAGCTAACGGGAGAGGGACAGCTTCGGAACGAGGTGGAGACGCTGCAAATGAAACGGCCTTGCCTTTGGACTTGGATTCTGCAGAAGCTTCCATATCAGATATTTGCCCAGCTAGTCTTTTACTTTGAAGAATGGATATATATGGATATGGGGAAGCTTGATGATACAGACAGTGTCGAGGCTTTGTGCTTATATAGAGCCATAAAGAGTGTCATTTAGATAATGGGGTTGTTGGTTTCTCAAAGTGCTAAGAACTGAGGAGTTGTTCGAAAACTGATAACACCTGACCAGCTCCACCATGGCACTACTACGTCTTCAGATTCCTTGTACCAGCTGAACTTGTGATCTATGGATATGATTGTTTAGTTATGTCGTAGCCTACCTCATGCATCTTGGTCTTGTATTCATTACTGATCAATACGATCAAAGAGGCCGCCATCAGCTTCCAAATATGATCAGTTCATTTCGTTTCATTTAAACGGTTACCTTCATTTTTTCTCTTAACTTTATTTAATTACTTAATCCTTATTTAGCGTGATTTGAGGGATAAAAATAATATATCAAAGACGAAATAAATATCGAAAATTAAATCTTGAGATAGTAATAGTCAAATTAAGGAATAAAATGCGACCTGAAAAAAGTTTACATAATAAGATTGACAATGAAAACTGGATGCAATGAAAAAGTAAATTAAAGATTTAACAAAATATATTTAAATAACAACATAAATATTAAATTGAGGGATTAGACACATGTTTTAATTTTAATTCTAATTCTAGTTTTTAAAATTGATTTTTAATTTAATTATTTTTCAATCGTCCAAAAGAAATTGATAACATGCTTGATTAAAATGTTGAAACAACTCACAAAATTGAAACAGAATATGATTATTAATATTAATATTATTTTTTTAAAAACAAAGAAGCGATGCTAGTTAATGGGGTTGGTTCTGGTTTTTAAAAGGCACCAACGCAACCAATCTGAAACTTCAGAGAAAAGGTCATCCGTTGTTGATGAGAATAACTTGGAAAAAGTCAGGATGCATAAATCCCTCCAGAGGCTCACATTCATATGCAGACAATCAAATGAAGTAAACTATTGAATGGAAGTAAATAAGAAGGGAAGGAAACGGGTTGAAAATGGAATATTCATCACAAAAATACTTTTACTAGGATATGCTTGTGTGTATAATGGGATAACCAATAAAATCATGAACCACAGAAAAACAATATGGTGATTAGGGCTGAGCAATGGGCGGGGTGGGCTAACCCAAAGGTTAGCCCATAGCCCGCCCATTTATTCATAAATGGGCATGGGCTAACCCATAACCCGGTAGTAGCCCATTTAGCCCGTATTAAATGGGCTACGGGGCAGCCCGTTTGGGCTGACCGGGTTACGGGGTAACCCATTTATTTTTTTAATTTTTTTTCAGTATAGTTATTTTGTATATATAACCTTATGAAGTTGTCAATAAATTTTACATGCCAAATAGCAAATCAAATATGAAATAACATCAACCATATTCAATCACACAACCTCACTTAGATTCGCAAACAATTAAAGTCTGATAAAATCATAAAAGTAGTCACCAATCATAAAGTCTCATAAACTTTGAAAATTCCAACTTTTACCTAAAGGATAAAATAAAAGCTTAGACAAGCATGAATGTTTGATAAAAGATGAATGAGAAACAATATCATCAATTAAATGAAGAATAAAAATATTTTTAAAAACTTAAAACTTAAACGGGCGGGTATGGGCAGCCCAATACCTTGCCCATAGCCCAACCCGTTTAATGGGCTACCCCGCCCATTTAAGCCCGCCCGTTTATAATATCTTATTTGGGCTAATTGGGCGGGCTTAAATGGGCAAAAATTTCATGGGTCATGGGCGGGCTAGCGGGTAATGGGTTTGTTGCTCACCCCTAATGGTGATGTGTCTGAAAGCAGCATTAGTTAACATAGAAGTTAAAGATGAAATACCTTCGTCACCAGCTAGTCTTTAAATTTTGAACAGAATTGTCCCTTAATGGTTTGGTCATCCCACTCTAAATTGTCCCACCACAGTTTTTCTCCCCAGATTGCCCTTAACTTATTTCTTGCAGAGTTGGAATCTAAAGGAAGCTTCTTCAAGTTAGGACATTCCATTATATTTATGTACTGCAGCATAGGAAAAGGCAGGGCTTTCTTGTAGATACTCTTCAGCATGGGCAAATTTCTCAAGCTAATGTACCTGAGATTTGAGAATAGGTCATCCATATTTCTGTTGCCTTGGTCATCTTGAGCCTCTTTTATCACTTCTTCCATCAGGTTACAGTTTTCCACAATAAGATAATCGAGGACTAGGGCATACTTGAGCCATGTCAAATGAGTCATGTCATGACAATCCAAAATTGTGACCCAACGGAGCTTGCAAAAAGGGGATGAATGATTAACAGAGGACTCTGTCATATTGTCTTGTAATCCAACTAAAGTCATGCGCTCCAGATGTTGCATGCTAGTCACAGATGGTAATAATGGTGCGGTACTTGCAGCCATCTTGTATTGATAAAGTCCCATTAATCTCACACAAGGTTTCAATTTGGTTGAGCTAAGCAGTTTCTTGATACCTGTGGCAGTCTCCAAGGTGATGCTAAGATCCTCCAAAAATGGTAATAACTCTAGCTGCTCCAGAAATGATTTCTCCATATTATGGGTGAAGTCAATGGCGGCAAGGAAGGAGGACTTTATCTTTTCTTTGAATCTACTTTCAATAAATGAGAACACTCTTAATCCCTCAAGATTTGATATTACCTCCAAAGGAATGATTTCAAGACTGAAATGAACATACTCTAGGAGGAATACCCTCAAGCTCTTTAAATTTTTCATCTGAAGCGGTAATTTTTCTTTAATGTGCATTTCAGATAGCTCCAGATATTCCAAGTAAATTAGTTGACCTATTTCAGTCGGGATTGTCGAAATCATCTCCATCCTTAGACTTAAGACTTTCAAATTACTTAAGAACCGAACATTTGCAAAATCTATTTTGCTGTCATTGCCCCACACAATTAGGGTCAAAAGATTTGGACATTTTGGAACACACCAGTCATCCCTTTTCGTATACATCATTGAAATCCTTTCTATCATCAGTGATCTTTCAGGATTACCAATTTGTGAAGATGCTATTGCTTCACCTTGCACTAGAACTTTGTTTTTCTCTTGATCTTGGTTACGAGCTATCCACAGTGCCATGTCACGGACCACATCATGCATCTTAACCCAAAGAAATTCCTCTCCTTCCAATAAACATGCTAGCTTTAATCTTTCCACTATATCTTCCCCATGATTATAGGCATCGTGTATGCTACCATGCTCCTTGAGAAATCCTTCCCCAATCCAAAGGCGAATTAGACGAGGGACATAAACTGTTCGATCCTCCGGGAATAATGCACAATATAAGAAACACTTTTTGTCTATGTCAGTAGGAAGGCTATCATAGCTGAACTTGAGAGTGTTGAATACTACTTTCTCCATGCCAGAAACCCCTGAAGGGAAACTTTGCAGCTCCCTTATAGCATGTTTCCATGCCTGTGGACTTTTCCGGCCAGCCATAGCTCGTCCTACTGTTATCAGCGCAAGTGGTAATCCTTTGCATTCTTGCACAAGCTCTTGTGATAGCCCATTGATACTTGGATGTGAATTTAGAGTTTCTGCACCCACTTTCATAAAAAACAAATCCAATGCTTCTTTCTCTGTCAAACATTCCACTTTGAACTTCTTCGCTTGCATTTGGTCACATACATTTTCAAGACGAGTTGTGAACAAAATTTTTGATTGATTGACCTCTTTTGGTAGTGGAACTCCAATACTCTGTAAGTCTGGTTCCTCCCATATATCATCCAACAACAAAATGAACTTTTTCTGCTTCATGACCCTGTAGATTTCTATGGCTTTCTCATCTTTACTTTTGTTCTTCCATTTCATGTCATCTATCCCACACTTTTGTCGGATGTCTTCCATAATTTGATCAATATTACAGTCCTTAGAAACAACTAACCATATCGCTAGCGCAAAATCATGACTTCTATTCGCTAACTCATTATTGAGTTTCCTCATAAGGGTTGTCTTTCCTGAACCACCCATCCCATATAGACCAATCACACTCACATTTTCGTCTTCAATGCTATCCCAAACCTTCTTTAACATCGAATCCATGCCCACAGTGGTGGCGACCGGCATCTCATTCACAGGTTCACATGGCAGCTGATAAGCAATATTAGCATCATTATTGAATTTTTGTCCCCTAGCCGTCAATTCTCTGGCACGATCCAGTGTTTTAACAACCTCTTTTCCCGTGAAGTAGCTTGAGAAACAATTCTTTGGACAAAGCCTACCCAAACACTTGAACTGGATAACCTTAGCAGCTCGTTGCATAATATCCTCCGTTACCTGCAGAAACGTATAATAAGTGTTTCAGCCCAAGCTATCTTTATTTCATATAATATTGTTTGTTCGTTTATTTCATTGAAATGTCAGAACTTGAGAGTGTTCAATTCAATAGACTATTACGCATCAGAATTTCTCCATTTTATATCGTTAAGATATCAAATGAAATCCAAATCCATAAAATAAGCATTCGCTCCGTTAATATATGAGCAATTTCAACTTGACTTGAACATATAATATGGCTGATGTAGGTTAAGATTACTTGTTCTAAAGCGTTTACACTTTGCAGCCATCCATCGACTTCTCTGGTCCTTCGCATATGAGCCAAACTCTCAGCTTCTTGGATTCTTGCATTCACATCTTGGCTTAGGCTTCGGAGCTCTGCCCATTGGCCCCTCAGTGATCCCAGGTTGTCTTCCAAACAGCACATGAAAGCAGTATGTTTGGCAGTGCTTCTACACAAGCTCTTCGATGCATCCCAGATTACCGGAGCTGCTTCCATGCCTCCGATATTAGATCGAGATGCGATTCAACTTCTCGTTTTGGAAAAGGAGGAGTATGAAAATCACAAGCTTGCAGATCGGACACAAAGGAAAGTGTGATCAGATAAACCAATACTCAGTTGACCTGGGATTCACTCAATCATTTCTATGGCCTCGAATTTAACTGGCTATAATCAGCTTCACTTTCGTATCTTAGCTTTGATTTTTTTAATTTTTTAAGGATAAAATCTGTTATTTTAATCCTTTATATTATTTTTAAATCAAAATAATTCTCAAAAGAAATATGGCTTGTTTCCTTCAATTTTTGTTAGCTGTTGTCCAGATAGAATCTCCTGACACCAAGTATGTACGTAGCTTTGAACTTGAAACTATCATGTTAAAAAAAATAATAATAATAAAACTTGAATCACATGATGCGAGAATGCTAAATGTGTCCGTGCTTAGATAATTTAAAAAGTGTTTTTAAAAAATCACTTTTATGTAAATTAAAGTAAATTCCTTTACATATTTATTTTGTATATTATAAAAGTAACTCATTCGCATATTTATTTCGTATATCATAAAAATCTTTTTATAATTATAATTTTGATTAAGGGAAAATTGCAAATAAAGACCCCTCAATATATAAAATAGCAATCAGGGACCCTGAATTTGAAAAATTGCTCACAAGGACCCGGTCCCAATTTGTAATTATGAAATCATGGTCAAATTACCAAAATACCCCTCTTTAATTTTTTTTTTCAAAAAAAAACACCACTGCCTCGCCGGAATCCGACCGCCGACCGCCGGAGCTCCGCCACCTCGGCCACCGACCACCGGAGCTCTGGCGCCGGCGGCCTTCCTTTATTTTTTTTTTGAAACTGTTTTTCGTTTTAAATTGGGGGGAAGTGAGGTTGGGGGGATTTGATCCCCAACCTCATGCTTCCCAAAATTAGGAATGACCATTGAGCCAACAAATTTTTGCTAACATTATAATACAAAAAAAAATATAAGTTAACTCATTTACTCTTGTTCCAGGTGATAACAAGAATACATTTGAAAATAACAAGTTCTGATTATAAAATAACAAGTCTGGGATTAAAATTTAACAACACGTTTTTTTTTTATAACAACACACTCTGTTGCAGGTGATAACAACAATACATTTGAAAATAACAAGTTCTGATTATAAAATAACAAGTCTGGGATTAAAATTTAACAACACGTTTTTTTTATAACAACACACTCTGTTTCAGGTGATAACAACAATACATTTGGAAATAACAAGTTCTGATTATAAAATAACAAGTCTGGGATTAAAATTTAACAACACGTTTTTTTTTATAACAACACACTCTGTTGCAGGTGATAACAACAATACATTTGAAAATAACAAGTTCTGATTATAAAATAACAAGTCTGGGATTAAAATTTAACAACACGTTTTTTTTATAACAACACACTCTTTTTCAGATGATAACAACAATACATTTGAAAATAACAGGTTCTGATTATAAAATAACAAGTCTAGAATTAAAATTTAAGAGCACCTTTTTTTATATAACAACACATTTTATTCTAAGTGATAACAACAATACATTTGAAAATAACAAGTTCTGATTATAAAATAAGAAATCTAAAATTAAAATTTAACAACACATTTTTTTATAACAATTAATTATTTTATACATTTGAAAAATAAATTATTTATAACTTATAAAAAGTATTTTAAATCTATTTAATTTGCTAAAAAAATAATTTTTATCTCCAATTTATAATCAAAACTTGAAGTGTAATTTATTATAGATTAAAAATATTTTTTTATTGTTCATATTTATAAATAAAATTTAGGGAAAATGACAACACACTTTTTAAATTTTTTTAAAAATTTTTTTAATCTATATATCTACACAACTCATTATAATATTTTTATATTATTTCATTCTTTAAATATTAAAATTTATTATTAAGTATTTAAATATTATAGTATAATTTATTATTTCATTCTTTAAATATTAAAAATAGTTTTTATATTTAAAGAAAAAAATAGTATTTTTAATTATAAATTAGAGATAAATTTCATTTATAAATTTAAGTAATCAAAAGGTATTTTTAATCTGCAATAAATTGTACTATTTATAATTTATAAGAAGTAGTTTGATTTATAATGAGTTGTATAGATATATAGATTAAAAATTTAAAAAAATTAAAAAAGTGTGTTGTCATTTTCCCTAAATTTTATTTATAAATTTGAACAATAAAAAATTATTTTTAATCTATAATAAATTACACTTCAAGTTTTGATTATAAATTGGAGATAAAAATTATTTTTTTAGCAAATTAAATAGATTTAAAATACTTTTTATAAGTTATAAATAATTTATTTTTCAAAAGTATAAAATAATTAATTGTTATAAAAAAATGTGTTGTTAAATTTTAATTTTAGATTTCTTATTTTATAATCAGAATTTGTTATTTTCAAATGTATTGTTGTTATCACTTGGAATAAAATGTGTTGTTATATAAAAAAAAAGGTGCTCTTAAATTTTAATTCCAGATTTGTTATTTTATAATCAGAACTTGTTATTTCCAAATGTATTGTTGTTATCACCTGAAAAAGAGTGTGTTGTTATAAAAAAAACGTGTTGTTAAATTTTAATCCCAGACTTGTTATTTTATAATCAGAACTTGTTATTTTCAAATGTATTGTTGTTATCACCTGCAACAGAGTGTGTTGTTATTAAAAAAACGTGTTGTTAAATTTTAATCCCAGACTTGTTATTTTATAATCAGAACTTGTTATTTCCAAATGTATTGTTGTTATCACCTGAAACAGAGTGTGTTGTTATAAAAAAAAACGTGTTGTTAAATTTTAATCCCAGACTTGTTATTTTATAATCAGAACTTGTTATTTTCAAATGTATTGTTGTTATCACCTGCAACAGAGTGTGTTGTTATAAAAAAAAACGTATTGTTAAATTTTAATCCCAGACTTGTTATTTTATAATCAGAACTTGTTATTTTCAAATGTATTCTTGTTATCAACTGGAATAAGAGTAAATGAGTTAACTTATATTTTTTTTTGTATTATAATGTTAGCAAAAATTTGTTGGCTCAATGGTCATTCCTAATTTTAGGAAGCATGAGGTTGAGGGATCAAATCCCCCCCCAACCTCACTTCCCCCCAATTTTTAAAAAAAAAACAGTTAAAAAAAAAACATAAAGGAAGGCTGCCGGAATCCGGCCGCCGGCGCCGGAGCTCTGGTGGCCGGCGGCCGAGGTGGCGGAGCTCCGGCGGCCGGCGGCCGGCGAGACATTGGTGTTTTTTTTTGGGAAAAAAAAATTAAAGAGGGGTATTTTGGTAATTTGACCATGATTTCATAATTGCAAATTGGAACCGGGTTCTTGTGAGCAATTTTTCAAATTCAGGGTCCCTGATTGCTATTTTATATATTGAGGGGCCTTTATTTGCAATTTTTCCTTTTGATTATGTCTAAAAACTTCCAAAATTTATTTGGAATGGTAACGTATTGTCGTAGCAAGCTAGTTTCCAAGTATGGCGCAACTAGGAGCTTCGGGTCCAGCAAAGAGTTCATATCAGCAAGATATAAATTTTAGCTTTAAAACTGAGACTTTATCCAAACACATTAGCTATCGTTGTCACTGAGTCACTAGCCATCGATATAGCCTTCTTGGTCTTCCACTAAAATAGCAAAATGCAGAAATAAATTATGATAAAATATTAAACTAATACCCAGAGATCAAAAGTGATTTGTTCTTTATTATTTTAGGGACGTCTGTGAACTCCCCTCATTTTAATTTAATAAATTTTTTTGGTTAAGCATAATTATTTAGGAAATCTCATGGGTATATATGCAATCCGTTAATTGAGATTGATCGGTTGAAAGAGTAGAAAGAAACTGAGACAATTCAAATTGAATAACAAGGCATCTTTGATCAAATTGTAACTAAATAACAAGCATCAGTGCAGATCGCAATAATACTTGCCTAATTCAGAAGAGAAATGGTTTCGGTTCTTTATAAAGTCATGAACAAATACAATGAATTAACGCATCTCTGTCTTCCAGCACCCATCAAGTGAAGAAATCAGAACCATACAGCTGCTTCAAACGCTTACCCAGACCAGAGAGGCTAGACGACGACCAGAGGTCAAAGCCTTATGAACAAGAAGTTCAAAAAGCAGATGTCAACAAGATATAGTATAATTCAAGGAATCGAGTCATAATTAACAGAAGCATCGCAAGTAAAGTGTCCCCAGTCCCACAGAGATTCTTCTTCCTCGTTATTTACATTCGGGTTTGCATCAGGGAGTGGATGGGAGGTTCCACGCGAGCTTGATTCATCCACCCTTATATCCTGATCCTGCCCACATGTTGAACAAGCTAAAGGGCGACGATCAAATGCTCGAAAGCTTCCCGATACCACGTAAACTCGGCACAAGCTGAATTCGTGCCTCAACTAAGTAAACGGAAAGGGAAAAAAGGAAAATAAATAAATGCTAGGCCTGCGATAGTGAAGGAGCATGATGAGAAAGATTGAAAGGTTGGGTCTTTGATTGTACCTTAGGAGTAGGAACAGAGGATTGGTGAGAGAATTCAATAGCTCTGTATTCGTTCATCTTCCACTTGGTTTTCCTTCCGGAAGGAGCTTTGCCTCTGTAATAAACCATGGTTTTCTTCAACCCAATGACTTTGTTATCAGAAGAGTAAACGTACCCTGGAGAACCTGTGGCTTTCCAATACCCACAAGCCGTGGTCCTGTTGGGTCTGCCTCCTCTGGCTTCCCTCTCCTGTCTCGGCGAGAAGAAGAACCATTGCTCTGTGTCTGCACGACATCTCTCTCCCGCAAGCTCTGCAACACATTACACCAAACCAAAACAAACCAATTTAGCCAACCGCCAAGTGATAATATACGATGAGAAGTCGAAGAATTTAAGAGTAGAAAAGTACTGGGAAGCTGGGAGGGCTCGAAGTCATAAATGCCAATGTCAGGGATGACTCTGCTGAGGTGGTCGCTTCCCCCCTGAAGCTTGTTATGGAGGTAGAAAGCCACTAGTTCTTCCTCTGTTGGGTAGAAGCGAAAACCAGGAGGCTGATTTTCCATTGATATTGTGTAGTGTGGGCATTGACAATGAGCAGAGAGGAGAGGCCACAGGTAAATAAAGGGAATGGGCTCTGAGCTGTGGCTGGAAGATATTGGCAAGAGGAAAATGAGAAGGAAGAAATGGCGAGTTTGGATTGGTGGGAAACTTCCACGCGGTTAGGGGGGCAAGAAAGCGTCTTCATGCCCTTCATTCATTTGTCTTTATTATGATTATCCCCACAAAATCTCGCCTTTGAATCAGTCCTCCTCTCTTTAATTTAATCTTAGGGGCTTGTGCGTTTCTATGCCCTGCACCTTTTTAATTAAATAATCTGCTTGTGTTTTGATATCGTACTCCACTATTCATATTGATATATATTTTAAACATGATGATAACGTCAAGTACTTGAAAGGAGAAGGAAAAAGGGGCAGAAGATGAATTATATAACATTAGACTTCTCAGGTCAATCGGCTTGACAATTGATATTTAACTTCTTTCTCTGGGATGATCATGAAAATGTACGGTCATATTCAGCGGAACAAATGTTTGAAATGGTGGTTTTATGTTATGGTAAAAATCCAAATAGGTAAGAAAATATTTCTGCTGACCATCAATTAAATTCATCAGAGGCTGCATGGTGTCAATTTACTGGGGGTCGGTCGACTGATGGGATATTTTCGAATCATAAAATTGCCTGTCTTGGGCCAAGTTTAGGACTTGAATGGTCATACATGCGCATAGACTTTCGTCCCAACAAAAACAAGGTCATATTCACGCCAACTAAGCTGAGGTGAAGTTTTTTTTTTTTTTTTTTGATAGTAAAGCTGAGGTGAAGTTTAAAATTGATAGAAGGTAGAAAAGTTCCAAGATATCTAATAAAGAGATTTTTTGGGCAATTCTGCCAATTAAAAATGAAAAGAAAGCAGCTTTATCTAATTATGGTGTGAAATGTGAACTGATTAAGTAAGTCAAAGGAAAAAAAACGGGTACTTGAATTAAAAAAAGGTCATGTTTGTCTTGAAAAGTTTACTAATTTTGATTAATTTAACAGTCAATTTCATTTTGCGCCATGATATCTCTCGCCATACGTGCTATATTGGGTGATTGATTTATTTTTCCTTTTTAAATTTTTTGGGCCATAGATTGACGATTAACTTTGACAAATTCTTTAGTGGACCCTAAGATTATTTCCAATGAATGCTGATTTAATCAATTTTATAGGGGATGACCAATTGAGGAAGGCAAAATGACCCATTAGTCAAAGCATGCCCAAAATCGTACCGACCGGACCAGACTTCGTCCTTCCTTTCCAAATATATGCGAGTGTGTGACAACCATAAGCTTTATTGCAGATTCATAATTAAGTTTTAATACTCATGAAAAAATTGTAGCATTCTATGATCAATAATCAATCATTATGAAGTTTTAAATGAAACGAGTGGTTTATGAACATTAAAAGCTCTGTGTTTATAGAATTATACAAGCCAATATTCTAAGATACCATTTATGCTTTGCTATTTCAATTTTAAAAGACATTCCTTACATTCTAAACTAAAAACTAGTTAGAGAATTTGTTTTAACTATAAATATAAAATTTTAATCCATTTCATATAGTATGTTTATCGGTTTTTTTAAAACTAAATTGCATACCTTATAAACTGATACTTGAAACTAAATTATATTTTGCGAAGACCATGCCAATTTTCTTAAATTTAAATAATTTATTTAAATTTAATATATCGAAATTAATTAAGACCGAAAAAGTAACAAAGACTTGATTTACACGATGGTCTCCCCCGCCCCAAACATAAAGATAAGATATTTGGGAGGTAATTTGACATTTTAGAGATGGTATTGGAAGCGTACGTTCATTGTATCTTGAAATATGAGCCGGTAATCAAGTGAGAGAGTTGAGAGCTATGGCACAAAATTCAACTGCTTTCATAATGCACCTCCCAAGTTATTGAATACCCAAAAGACTCTTCCTTCTTTCTTTTTTTTCCCTGGTGCATCCACTTTCCTCCTCCTCTCCTCCAAATCCACTGCTAATCTCCATATGACACGTTTATGACGTAAAATTAGCTTCTTTTTTATATTAGTAGTACTTCAGATGGTGAAATCTCCATCCAAATCAAAGACAGAAAATGCCCCCCTGTGGCTTTTGCTGGCCCCTGCATTGACTGGTAAAGTCACAAAATTTGCAAAAAGGGTCAAATCTCAATCTTCACACGCGCACTCTGTCAGATGCCATCTACTTGACGTAACAGAACGGCATATTGTTAATTTTATAATTGCAAACTAAAATAATAAATTGATCTAAAAGGTTTAAAAAGCGTTTAGAACCATCAAAAAATACTTTTTGAAAATACTTTTCTGAGATAAACTCCTCCACATATTTATTTTGTATATCGTAAAAACACTTTTAAAATCATAATTTTGATTCTATCTAAACACCTACAATGATCTGCAAATCTGTCCCTCCTTATAGGTGTGACATGAGAATGGGCCGGTTGTACAGCAGGGTGGCATGCAGTGCCTATTTAGGATCATGGTGAAAATTTCCTATAAGTACATTTTATGTAAGCTGAGATAAAATTTCTTTCACATACTTACCTTGTATTTTGTAAATCATTATTAATTCTAAACGAGTCAATAATCTTTCTCAAAATTAGCAGCTTGGGATGGTTAATAAACAAACTGCCAATGTTAAGACAAGGTTACAGGTTTGAGTCTTGTCTAAGGTGGTCATAGATTCAATTTTTGCCTACAAAGTCATGTCAAGTAGCTTTGAGCTAGGTGGTTATTTCTGATAAAAAAGGCAATGTCCAGACCAGGTATGAATGAATTAGCTAAGGTGAAATGTGACTGTCAAATATCAGTTGTTTTCAGCACTTAAAATTTTCATCAGTTTGCCTTCATCTCTCCTTTACTCCACTAATGAACAAATGCAATCTTTATGAAATTGTTCCTACTTTTTACTTTGACTGCTATGAGAAGCTTATCTTCAAACAAATTGCACTTGACAGCGTAAGTATTGGAGTGGCTGTTCTTTTTGGTTTTCTAAGTTTGAAAAAAGAAACAAAAGAAAGAAATTGAAGTATGTTTCAGTTAAGGAAACTGGGAAATTGATACATAAAAGTGGGGGGCAAATTGATTCTTGCAGTTAGCAAATGCATTTTAAAAGCTGTCCTTATTTTTATTTTATACTTGCAGATATTTATAGTGTGACAGCACTTGTGATTGTTTACAAAAACAGAATTCACTGACAGTATTTCTTTTCATTCGCTAGCGGTATTTATGAATGTCACTAAAGTATGGCTTAGTAGCAGTTTTATTTTCCCTCTTACTTCACAGCATCACTTATAGTTGCAATAATAATAAAGGAAAATAACAATAAAAAAAATGTCTCTTAGGCTTACTTCAGGTAAAGTATAAAGAGACACAGTCACGGATATCAAATATGGGGCCTGCCATTTCCTTTTCATTTCTTGACGCCTTACATGAAGTTTACTTTAGAGATTCAAATCTAAAATAAGGTAGTAAATATAATGTTTAATTACCAAAAACAAACGTGAAGATTCAAATCTGCTGGATCGCTCACCCCAATAAGGATATAGCAGAGCTCTTGGTTATAACAGTGGCAACTGAGAACGTTATACCAGCAGTTTTTAGTACTTTTACTAGCAGTTTTGACTGCTTCTAGATACTCATTTTCCTGTAATGTTATACTTCCTCTTATCATTAATATTGCTATAAACACTAGTTAACTAATTTGAGTAGATTAAGAAAATTTGTTAAGATAGTTATTTATAATAAATAAGTATTGTTTTTCTTAAAATATCATTGCCAACTATATGTATTGGCTAAAACTATTATTTGATAAAACTTTTAACATCTGTAATTACTATAATGTTTACGAAAAAAATAGATAAACATAAAAGACAAAATAAATTGAGATCCTAACCAAATTGAATGTCAAGCTAATTGTTATATTAAGTAATGAAATTAGTATTACACAACAACTCTCACAAGCAATTTGAGAATCCTGTCTTTTTCAACTTCTTTATTGTCTCATCACATTTCAACCACATGTTAGGTTTCGTTTTCCTGGGTCCTATTGCTTTCCATCGCTTGTTTTATGCAGGCCACCTTCTAGTCATTAATTAGAAGTTGCATCCTTCGTTTCATTTTCTTCAGTATCCTCTGTACATGCACATGATCTAACGTTTATCCGATTTCATGAAATAAATGTTCGCTAGCAACATTTCTAATAGTTTTAAACCAACAAAGAATCATAAACCCAACAAATCTGAGCAAGAGAAAAGTATAATCTGAAACTGGTGCTTTATGAACCAGGACTATCATTAACATGAGACACAAATACATAGACAAGGCAGAACACATCATATACATGCCTGCTTTCAAACATAGAAAAAGTAACTTCCTTCTTCACAAGCTTACTTAACAAGAGTAAAGCATAAACACAGATCTTACCACACTGCCACATTTACTCATGTCGCATATACATATAGGTGTGCTTTTGATAATATTACACAAGAGCTTTAACGTTAAAGGAATACATAATCAGGGTATTCCAATGATGGGGAAGAAAGGGATATAGTAGCTAGAGGGTGCCAAACCCCACTCAGGAGGCAGAGGAAGATCGACAGTTTTGGACGAGCCTAGCTCAGACTTTGTGCTGAAGCTCAGAGGAGTAGATATGGTGAACGTGTTGGGCTCTCTAGCCTTCACAATTCGAGAGAACATGTTCTTCCTTGAAGCATAAAGCTGCTCTGGTCCTCCCACAAGTTGTGCAAGACACTTCCCTGAGTCTTTAGGAAGTTTAAGGTTGAAGGAGCCATCATGTTCTGCAGTTGCCACTCCCAACTTATTCACTTTATCACACTTTACTGAAACCCTAATCCCTGAAAAGTTGAAACCACATGGCATAAGAATAGAGTGAAAGCTAGTGAGTCACTAATGGATGAATTAGTACGTTAGAAGATTATGAGACAAACCAGAGAAGTCGAAATTGTTGGGGCAGTCAAGGCAAGAGACTTTAGCTTTTACTTCTTTGCATGTGGAGGGGTCAATTGTGGCTAGGGCTAATGCAAAAAGTAGAGCTGTGATAAGCTGAGGAAACGCCATGAGACTAGCTTCTGCAGAAAGAAGCAACAAGAAATGGCTGACAGAAGAGTTCCAAGTTTGAAGTCTGTAGAGAAGGAGGACAAGCTTGCAGCTTATAATGTGAGCGTAATAAATGATGGGGCCTAAAGCTGACATTAGTAGTTGGTCTTCATAGATTGCAATTAAGTACTGCTCAGCGAAACTTGTCAAATGTCAGAAATATATGAAAATTTTTTATACTGTAATTTCATCTTTTATGTGGACATAAAACACGCTCAGTGAGAAACTCAATCACACATTTTATCATCATGTTACAATAACGTGTAAAGAAGATGTTATCAGTGCACAAAAAACAAATATCTAATTTATTCACAGATCAGCAGCTTTGACGTGAATCCTTGAGCACGTCGGCCTTGCTTTTTCTGATTAGAGTTCGAAACTGAAGCATGCCAAAGTCCACAGCAAGAGGAAGATCATTAGAAAGTTTTTGGTTAAAAAATTCAAAAGTGAAGACTAGAGTTGAAAAGAAAGCATGAAACAGGTACCAGGAAAGTGTGCAGAATATAATAGGATCTTTAATATAAGATCTTTTTAATTAATTTGATTAGATTAAGAAAATTAGGTAAGTTAGTTAATTATAACAAATATGACATGTTTTTCCTAAAATATCATAATCATTATTATTAATATCCTTCCTCCTTCACTTATTTGATCATGATTAAGAGAGTATCTAAAGAGATAATTTAAAAAAATTGATAAATATAAGAAATAGATTTTATATTTAGAATCAAAATTAACTTAATAATTAGATCCTATGTTAAAAACCGGAAGAGTATATAGATTTTTGGTGCTGTGCCGAGAAGCTGGAAATTCTCATCTCAAACAAGTCATGGGTCGTAAGAGGAGCCAGATTTTTAGTTCAGTGATCGTCCTTGTGGAGTTTTTGGCACTGAGTTGCTGAGGTCAGAGAGTATTAATGAAGCGTAAGTGAGAGATCATGAGTGATGACTGTGCTAACCCCCCAGGCCCCGACATTTGACAGGGATATTTCAAAAGATGCATGCCATATTTAATATGAAATCTTATAATAAAGTTAGCGTCTATAGTAGTACATGGTTGAAAAGGAAATCCCATAAAACATGAGATTTATGAACCTGGTTGGTCTCACTGATCTCCCGTGAATTTAACTCTCGCGGTGAAACTTTGTTATTAACTACGACCGGCTCGGACCTTTTTCAGAGATGTTTTGAAATCATCTAAAAGACCATAATGAATGTAACTAATGATTAATCAAGAATAAGACGAGTTGAAATCAAGAAGTTTAAAGAAAAATGAAAACTTTGAAAAGAAAGCAGTCAACTTAGTGTGAGACGGAAAAGCTAAGAGGAGAAAATATTTAGTGATAAAAAGCAAATCTTTGCTGTCTCCCACTGGTGGGATGGATGAAACAGAGATACCCAACATGTCAACTAAGTCACTTAAATGCGATTCTGAGGATCACCGATCAAGTCTAAGTCTTGGCTCTACAAAGTAGCAGCCCCACAAGGGTCGTGTTCTACCCGTCATGGTTTGATAAATGTGCAACCAGAATTCAAATTCCGTTGAATTCATTTCGTGGTTTAATTTCCGAGCAAAGACCCTTCACTGTGGTCATCTTTCCATAACTAATGCACTCTGCCAGTGCCTCCGTCTTCCAGCCCCATGAAATACTATCCATCCAAAATCACTCATTCATAACCTTTTTCTTTTTTTTCCCCCTCCTTAAAAAAGCACTAAAGGGAGAGATGCTAACAGCCTCAGATCATAAATGGGCTTCAAAATGCTGAGTTGAGTTAGACCAATTAAACCGTCATGGCCGTGCAACACCAATTCGTAGTAGTAATATCAACGTTAGAGTGTACCCAAAAAAAAAAAAATCAACGTTAGAGTCCACAAACTATGAGCATTTCTTACACTACCTAATATAAAAATTAGTTTGATTTTTAATTTATTTATAAACACAAGACTCTAATTAATTTTATCTCTTGTATTTATCCATAATTTTTAAAGTAATCCTTATAGTAATTGCACATGTTAAAGATTCCATCAAATAGTAGTTTTAGTTAATACACATAATTAGCAAGAATATTCTAGAAAAGATAACACATATTTATTATAAATAACTAATTTAACAAGCTTTCTTGATTTACTCAAATTAGTCAATTAGCTCTTATATTAAGGATCGAAAATAATATTATAAAATAAGTTGTTTGCAGAGTCAGCTTGGCTTATCTAACTCAACAAATTTAATAGCATATTATGCAAACATGTTCATTTAATAAGTAAAATTGAATGCAACCAAATTTTGGAACAAGCGAAATCCAAGTAAGCTACAAGCAATTGGATTCATTTACACCTCTACCAACCTTATGATGGTGTGTTTTGGGATAGGACATGCAAGGGCACATAAAAGTAAAGATGCAGTTATGAAAATCGCCCCCGCAACCTACTTCTCGCGGAAGCACTTAAATAAAGATGGCGTTCTTTCTGGTAGAAGCCTGGGCTCACCCAAACAGGGACCACATTTTGCCCAGAAGAATGTGACATGAAGCGTGAACAGTGTTTGGGTAAAATCAAAAGTCATCCCCTTAGTCACGCCGACAACCTCTTTGGAATCGTAAGTAATAGCGCTTATTATTATGCCATCAAGGATACCATAAAGGCGCACGTCAAGGCCTTCCAAGAAGAGGTAGGAGGGTTGTAAAACAATGAAAGGGAAGAAACAAACGGAATGCTAGTCTTCATTCCAAAACAGCCGCACGTCAACGCCCTATATCGGAGGCTTTTGATACAATACAGGCCTAGAAAATGAAACAGAAGGTGGAATGATCTCCAGTATCTCACATGTAAGGGAACGGATGAAACAGTTTGGGAAAAAAGAAAACGTAAACATGAGGGAGAAAACATAAAATGTCAGTTGCAACTTGGAAGTTTCCTACCAAGCACTCATTCCTGATTGTCCAAAAGGCTTGGGTTTGTTGTAACTTCCTAATTCATTCACGGGTGAGAGCTTAAGATTGAGCTTTCTCGTAATTAAATATATTTTGATAACTTCAATGTTTTGTTTTATAATTTAATACCTTCAATGGGCATCCAATGACTGGTTTAAGGAAAAGAATCCAATAGCCAATATTGTCTGAAAATAAACATACATCGCCCACCCCCAACAATGCATCATCATAAGCCAATTTCAGTCGTGGAAACTCTGCAATCATGCTGCTTCGCTCCATTATTGGCGCCAAAATCATGCCATCATTTTGGCGCCATCCTCTCTCTCCAATTCATCCTCCTACTACACTGATCTTTACGTTGCTCCTTCCAGTAGGATCTTGACACACGGCTTCCTCATCCCACAATCAGCGCTGTGTTTCAGGGCAGTTATCAAACACACAGCGACCGAACCAGTTGGGAATTCCAGAGGCGGCTGAGTGCTGCGCTTCTTGAATTCATCATTCGTGTGCCGTTCCAGGTAGCCAAAAGTCATAAATATTGTTTCTTGCTTTATTGTTTGCTGATGCAGTTTGCAACTGCGACAGGCTGCAACTTCAACTAACAGCAGTCTCAGGAGCAAATTACAGCAGCATCCCCAGAACCCAGGAAGCAAAGTTAGAGAAAACTCAGGGAAAAAACAAGTCAGGAGCAAAATAACAGCAACTTCGATTAACAGTAAAGTCCCAATGGTTGGTTACCCGCAAGGCCAGAACACAAGATCGTTCATGAAAGGAAAGTAAAACAGATCAGGAACAATCATCCACAGACCTTTTAAAAGAAGATTCTTTCAGAGGCACGCTATCAATTTAATAGCATGATACTGGCAAAAATGGAGAGAAGCCAGGCAGTGGTGAAGGGAGCACACAGACTTCTCATTTCATAAAGTCCTTAATTTTTAATCGCAATAAAGAAGGGAAAAGCAGTAATTAAACCACAATAGAGTATGATAGAGTGGCTAGAGCTATACCATATTTTTTATATACGTATATGAGTTCTCTAATCTCGAGTGTTTCAAATAAAGAAATAAACTGATCTCAGTAAGCCTTATTTGGCGACGCATAGTTCATATATATTTTGACTCAGATGGAAAGTACATCAAAAACTCAGCACATCCGATGAATTAATTTTGTGAATTGCATTATAAGGTGCCATTTGGTACGAAATATTGAAAATAGGCATTAGGATTATAATTGAAAAAAAAAATCATTAAAAAAACCTTTAGCATAAGTAATTGCTTGTTACATGGGATTAAACAAATCATAAAAGTAGGATTGGAGAATACCATTTCTCCTTTGTATTCTCCAATCCCATATATATGCGTTTATCTAATCCCATATCATAAGTAATATCTCGTACTAAACACTGTTTTCTCAGTCCTAATCCTAATCTTAAGAGTATATCCCTGTCCAACAAATGATCAAAACCAGAATGTGTCCAGTGAAAACGACGGGACATACAAAATCACTCCCGTAGAAGGAGGGAAATAAAACATTAACGAGCTCATAAATGACCGAATCTCTTTGGACTGAATGATCCGCCATGCCTAGATCTTGTAGAGCAGGTTTTAATTGATAAAAAGACGTCAGAAAGAAAATTTAAAATAGTAACTTGCTTCATGCTTACAATGGAGCGGCAATTGGCCACTAAGATACACTAGTTCAGAACAAATTCAGTATGATAATCTCAAATGTAGTCAAAAGAAGAAAATTGTGAGATAAGGCATCCAAGAATTACGAGTATCCAAATCCTTCAGTCAAGAAAACCTGTTTGCCGCCAAACCGCATTCCTGACCTGGCGTAAATCCCTCCCTTTCAACGTCCTCCCGGCTCCTTCAAGAACCGAGCTAGCAAGCATCGGGGACTGCGCAGAATTTCTTGCCACAGCCTGATGCGGGGGGAGCATTTCCTCACTTTCATCACCTTCCTCGTCAAAGTCCTCATCAAATTCCCGGCGTCTACTCCTCGCCATCATCATTGCTGGCGACATGACCGGCACATTCACCGGCGCAGACTGGGGGTACTTCACAGAGGACGATGAAGTATAGGAAGGAATTCGTTCCTGCGGTGGCTTCGGAATGGCAGGAATCGAACGGGAGGACGAGGAAGAGGTGGAAGACACAGATGCCTTATGGAACAGATGCGAAGTGTTTCGCGCGTTCGGGGACGGCTCGTCTTCAGGCAGAGCAGCGAGAATGCCAAATGTATCGAGCGGCCCAAAACCCTTATGGCTCTGATGAAGGTGGTGGCGTGGGGTGGATGAGGCGGAGGAAGATGAAGGGGTGGATGAATGGTTAGGCTCAGCATAGTCTTCGCTCATGAAAACAACGACGTCTTCGGTGAGCTCGTCACCACCATTGATCCTTCTGGAGGAGCTAGGGTTTCAAGGAGCGGCGCATGGGTTGAAACGCCAAGGAAGCGCTCGGAGGAGATGGGCTGCGGTGGCGGGAGCGATTAGAATCGTAAAGATCCATAGTAGCAGTTGGGGGCGTAGCCGAAATAAAATTAGCGTACGAGGTGATGATGGCCTGAGTTGGAATGAGTTGGGAATCTCAGATACAGAACGCTGGACAGTAGGAACCGGGCAGGTTTCCGCATCTTACAGGCTGAGGCCGGTGTGGAGTGCTGGACGTGTGACGTTTACCCTCATATTTATTTGAGTGAATTTACCCTCTTTTTCTTTTTTGGGTAAATTACCCTCATATTTATTTAATCTGACTATCTGAGCAGCATCAGCTCAAAAAAAAAAAAGACATCTGAGCAAGCAGGACATCCCACATCCTTGTAATTAAAATTTATATTTTTAAAGCAGCAATTTATATTATAATCAAATGACAGTATATAACCAATAAGTTGTTATTGAAATAGTATAAAGTGTTACTCAGTAAAAAAAACACAAATTCAAATATTAATAACATTCTTAATTCGGTAAGTGTTATTTTTAACTCTAAAATGATTTATAAAATAAATCAAAAAACAAGCATGAAAAATAAGTATCATGAAGGATATACATACATGAGCTATTGTCAAAATGTCAGGGGGAGTTTGACAAACTCAAAAACATCTAAAAAAAAAGCTTTCATGCAATGACACAACTTTTTTCTGTATATTTATTTAAATCATTTTAAAAAAACTAATTTAAATACACCTAATTCTTTATGGTTGTGTAACAAACAAGACATAACTTTTAAAATCAAATAAAAGAATTAAAAGTAAGTCTTTTTATTTTATCTGGGAATCTTGGGAAGCATATTTCAACTTAATAATATGATTTTATTTGGTTTAATCATTTATTTATATTTATTTTCATTTAAAAATAAATCAGAATAATGTAGAACTTAACATTAATTTAACTACTTTTATTGTCACAACATCTTAGAAAACTATGTGCAAATTTGAAGGAAAAAGTAGTGAAAGTCATGCTATCATTTTTTTCGCTAATGTGTAAGGCACTTCTAATTTACTTTATTAAAATGAAGAAAAATTTTAAATTTAATTAGTTTTATTTTTAATTAATGATCTTTTTAATTTTATTCCTATTTAGTATTATTTCAAATTTTTAATATAAAAGTCAGTTAATTGATTTAAAAAAACTGAGAAAGCTAAATGTTTAAAAAATAAATTTGCTTTACTTATGAATTGATATTTAATCTAATTATATATATATATATATATCTCATAGAGATAATGTAATATATGTTATAATTAAGTAATTTGATAATTTTTTTGATCTTTCTGAATTAGTTAATTAAATTTTATACTGTTTCTTGTCTTAATTATAAGACATCGTTTGTAAACTATAAACGAGATTTTATAATTACAATTGAAAGTAGTACTCTTCCGGTCCTTATTATAAGACCCAATTTGACTTTTTTTGGTCCTAATTATAAGACCCAATCCATTTTCTCTCTTATATTTATGCATTTTTTCCAAGATAATCCTTCTAATAATGATAGTTTTAGCCAATATACTTAATTAGCAAGGATATTTTAGGAATAACAACACTTATTTATTATAAATAACCAACTTAACTTACTTCCTTAATCTCCTCAAATAAGTCAATTGGGTCTTATAATTAGGACCGGAGGAGTATTAAAAACTGGAGGTATTATATATATTTAAAAAATAAAAATCTATAAAATAATAAATTAAAGATGAATTGTGTGGTATATGACATCCTATCCCCACTAGTTAAACAAAAGGGACCGTAAAATGGCAACTTTATAGGCTTTCTCATTGTCTCTAATGCCACCTTTGATTCTTATTATAAGAATTAGTTGTAGATTAAGAAAATTTGTTAAATTCGTTATTTGTAATAAATAACATTAAAAAAATCTCACTAATCATGTGTATTAGTTAGAATTACTATTTGATAAAATATTTAACATATGTAACTATTATAAGGACTATCTTGAAAAAAAATAAATAAACATAAGAGAGAAAATGGATTAAATTTTATATTTAAACTAAATTAAAAATGAATAAGTTTTTATATTAAAAATCGGTCAAAAAAAAAAAAAAGCGAAAACGTTATAACACAATGCGGTACCTGGGCTCCCAACTTCGAGAGATGGGCTTATACATGTCCCCCTGAAGCAGGAAGTGGAGATGAGACGATATTTGGGCCATGTGCCCATGTGCTCTTCCTCCGTCATTGTCCATGTGCTCTTCGGCGTCTTCCTGCTTCCACTTTTGACTCAATGACGAACCTGTCCTCTTCATCCACAAAATTCGCGGGGCTAAATTTGAGGGCATTTCCGTCATCTAAATAACTACCCTTAGCTCCTTCCTGCACTGCAGGTTTCAGATTGGGAATCTGATCCTGGAGGTGATGCGGAGCAGGCATGGACCAGAAGGTAAAATGGAGCTGGAGTTCGGCGATTGTCGGAGCTGCGTCGGCGGTGGCTGCAACGGCGCTTGTATCGGCGAAGCCCAAGGACCCAACCTTCCATCTCATATCAATCAGCTTCACCTCTTTGAAGCTCCACCTTCCTGTCCTCGACGCCGAGCTCATCCTCACCGTACACGTCACCAACCCCAACGTTGCTCCAATCCACTACTCCTCTACCTCCATGTCCATCTATTACCAGGGTTCGCTTCTGGGCTCGGCCGAGGTGCAGGCCGGCTCGCAGCCGCCCCGCTCCTGCCAGCTGCTCCACATTCCGGCCCGGCTTAACGGCCTGGAACTGGCCCATCACGCCGCTCAATTTGTGGCTGATGTCGCCAAGCGTGAGATGGTGCTCGACGCCGCCGTGGATATCAGTGGTACGGCCAAGGTTCTTTGGTGGGAACATAAGTTCAAGGTGCACGTGGATAGCCATGTCACCGTTGATCCATTGTTCCTTGATGTTATTGATCAGGAAAACAACTCTGAGTTGGAAGTGCTTGCAGCATAGGCCTTCAATCTCTATCGAACGCCCGATGTAATCTAATTTGACATTTGAAGGCCTATTTTTCAATTATTCGTTACCATTATTTATTTGGGGAGGCAAAACAGTCTCATTCGTAAATCAGGGGGCGATTGCAAAACCCAAACGCTTTTCGTTTCAAAGCACAAGAACAAAGATTACCAAGTTCAGCGTAACGCATTGTAGATATTCCCGTTTCTTAATCATCTGGCAGTGAAAAAAGTTGCAACGAAACAAAATTGTCACCGACTTGAGGGAAAAAACTAACCATTGTCTAGGACCAAATCAGAAGTAAGAGTGCAAGCCATGATCAGAGTGAAGAAGTGAGGGTCTAACAAAATGCCGTCCTCATGGGGATGGTAGGAGTATTAGTTCTCTAACAAATGTATGCAGGCTACTTTGGCACTGACGGAGAAAGAAATATCTTTAAGCTTAAGTGCTGCTGGATCTAGTGTAGATTTGCTGGCTGGCATGAGCAGCTATTAGCGTAACTGATCCTCTTGCCATCAAGTCCTTAATCGCCCGACGAGCCAAGGATCCGTTGATCTGTAAATGATGAAGAGAAGAACAAAGTTATAATAAAAATTACGTGCAAGCAATCAGCCAATCAACTTTCCTTCTTCATGAGGAAAGCAAACTAAGATCTTTTCTCAAGTCTAAAATATGCGTGTTGCGCACGCCAACAATAATACTTTCCAATGTCATATTCTTGGAAGGGACACACAAAGAACCCCTACTTTACAAATGACCAAGAAACAAGGATGCCTTTGCATACAAATAATAGGATTCCACTGGATACTTGTTATTCCGCCACGTACAGATCAAAACATTGTTGTCCACGGAGAAACTATGCTTCTTCAAATAGCTAACGGTTTTCAAATCAGGGAATACCACTCAGTAACATTCCTTTTTCAATCTCATTGCATAAAAAAGTACGGAGCGTGCAGAGAAGCTAAGAACGTACCCTCAATCTGTCAAACATGATGGATGGCGTAATTAAGTTGTACTTTGGAACTTCCGAAAGGAGCTTACCATAGGTTGCTTGATCAAACAATACCATGGTGTTCACCTTCTCCTTTTGCTTTCCCTTGCTCCACTTCTGAAGAGTGACGGCAGTCAGATGCACATTCAATTAGCTTCGTCAAGTTCAAGGCAAACTACAAAAGGCCATTGGGGAAAACAATGGTCTGATTCTTCAAAAGGATTACATTCTGACTTCTGAGCGACTTCTCAATTAAGAGATTTGAAGACCCTTACCTTGTTCTTTTGCTTCCCTCCTCCAAACTTGGCGGGCTTCGAGGATGGAGGAGGAGCTTTACTATCTTTCTTGGATGCCTAAAGAACACAAAAATATGAGCAAAAATCTCGAGAGAATTACGTAAGCACAGAGGTTTGGCCTCACCATTCGGTTCAAAAGAATGCAGATAAAGCAGGGGAAACCGTGGGAGTTGACCAGAAGCATGAGTTCTGCCGTCTTTTAACTGCCAAATAGGGTTTGATTTCTGAGTTTTTTCCTTTGTTTTCTTCCCCAAAACAAAATTTTGTGATTGTGAGTAGCTAGTTCGGGAGAAGGGGGCAATTTGGGTCTAGCCTAGCCATAGTAATGCCAAAACTTCGTGAATGACCAACCACATTATTTTAAAACAATTTTTTAAAAGTTAAAATAAGCTGTGGATGATAAGTTTTGTAAATAAACTAAAAATGAATACACGAAGATAAGTGAAGACACAATTAAAAATGTGCTTAAAATATTCTCTTACTGACCATCAATTATTAATCGCGATACTGTGCAAATAACACAAATTTTGTAATGGATGCTATGTCAAAATTTAGTTAATAAATTAAATGTTACTATATTTACACAAATTTAGACCAGCTTTTATTTGTAAATTTTAATTTCAACTCTTTCAAATCATTGTCCAGTTAGGACACTTGCAATAAGAACAGCAAATATATTTTCCGCCAAACAAGATACAAGTGAAGACATATGGATGTAAATATTTATCACTCAAATTTAAAGAAAAATATCATTATCAAAAATTGAAATCAGTGATCTTTTTATTGTGGTTATTTTGCTTGCTTAATTTCGTAAGGCTTCGGAGAAATAGCAAGAAAATTCTACAACCGCCTATTCTTTTTTTTTTTTTTCCCCTCTTCAAAAAAAATCTGCAACCTTCTGAATCTGATGCCATTAGGCTTTTGGTCCAGAAAAGGCCTGAAATAGAACAAACGAAACCGGCTCTTCGCGCCGAAGCCATTCGTTGCTTGAACCTGCCCCTTCGCCCGCATCTAAAGGGGTTGTCCTTAAACCCTTGTGCGCCTCTTCCCCTACGCAACAAGAACTCTCGCATTTCTTTCTCTGAGCCTCTCGCCCTGTGCACTGATTCTGGTATCTATTTCTTCTATTCCGAAAAATCTTGTCATTTTGTTTTAAGGACCACCTTGAATTTGCTATGCTTTCTCTACATCAACTTTCTGATTTCATTTATTCAATCGATTTTCTTCTGAGAGTTTACTTAGTTTTCATTTTATTTCAAATGGCAATAGATAGGGGATTTCGCCTTTCTTATGTTTGTTCCTCCAATCATCTTAAATTTTGACATGACGAGTAGATTTAGCATTCATCGTCTCATTTACACAGAACAAATTTGAGTGTGATGGCGACGCGGATGGCTGCGAGATTTGTGTCCAGAAGACTGTATAGCAGTGGCAATGGCAGAGTACTTAGTGAGGAGGAAAAAGCTGCAGAAAATGTTTACATTAAGGTAATCTTGAAATCTCCTAGCGTAATCTTGGTTCTATATGTTCTTTTTATCCTGATATGAACTTTTGTAAGTTGATGACATTGCCAGGAACTTCGGAGTGTTAGTGTAGTGTCTTCATTGCAAGCTTTCGATCGGTTATCGAACAAATTTTAACAGATAATAGGGCATCCATAAGTTATTTTTATTGATTCTATCCTTGGCGCTTTTCTCTGGCATATGGTGCAGCATCGCCGTGTTTCTTTTTTCCCCGCATTTTAGCATTCATTTTGTTTGTAGATTCACAAGTATCTTTGTATGGTTAGGATTTGACATGGTGTTCCAAAGGTTGGGAGGTTTCCAACGAGCTGAGCAAAACTGCTTGGCGTGCGTATAACACCAATGCTTGTGAAAAATTATTAACATGCATTGGTAACGAAAAATCGCCTTAGTGGTTCGTACTGGCAACATAGCAATGTCTGAATTTGAATTTTAGGTGTATTGAAATGAAGATACTGTTCTTTGCCAGTTGACTTTATTTGTCTATTATGAACATCACCAGAGGATTTTGCTTTCTCAATTCCTCCTGCCTTATGTGTTTATTGTTTTTGGATAGTGCAGAAAACTGAGCAAGAGAAATTAGAGAAGCTTGCTCGCAAGGTATTGTCTGACTTGAGATATTATTGATTTTTACTTGTTGATTTCATTGCTTCAATTGATGTGATAATTAAATATTTCTTGCTAATGCTTGGTGACTGGAGTGGTAAATGAGAAAAATGATCAGTGAGTTAGGTAAGATAAGAAGGGTGGAGCATGCGTGGTAAGCCAAGGGAACACAAGGGAACAGACCTATTGTCAAATAACTTTGCTGAAATTAACTGTAAACATGAGGCTGGGAACTGGTTTTTATTTCTTTTGGTGCTTGGTTCAGAAATATTTCTTGTTAATACCTGCTGGCATGGGGTGATAAATGAGAAAAATGACGAGTGAGTTAGGCAAGATGAAAAGAGTGGTGGATGCGTGGTAAGTCAAGGGTACACAAGGGAATGGACTTATCGTCAGATAACTTTTGGCTGAAATTAACTGTAAACATGAGGCTGGAAACTTGTTTTTATTTCTTTTGGTAGTGTAATTATGCTTTTTAAACATTACAGATTCTTGATCATGACCCCATGTACAACATTTTAACTAGAGGGTAAATTATTTCTATGGTGTTGATTTTTCGTGACATTTTCCTGATTTATTCCCATGGAGTCACTCTACTAACAGGTTAAAATGATTTATATCAGCGAGTCACCTTTGGATTAGTAGTTTTTATTGTGCGCATGCATAATATTATGCTTTAAACTTATCAGTCAACATTTATTCTAAATCAGGGTCCTCAACCAGACAGTAAGGCAGCGGCAGGCTCGGGGGGTTCAGTAACTGACGCCAAACCCAGCTTGGATTCTACAGGAACATCATCTGCCGAGAAAGTTTCTACTGACCAGTACCGGAACTATGCAGTTGTTGCTGGGACCATTACAATTCTTGGTGCTTTGGGATGGTACCTTAAAGGCACTGCGAAGAAGCCAGAAGCGCAGGATTGAGGCTTGCTTCGATAGTTGCACTGCCTTGATGCATGTTGCCATAGTTTGGTAATGGTTGTAGCAGCTAGACAAATAAATGACCACACAATACCTGTGTTCTACGTTCCAACATACTATCAATATGATTGGCTTCTTTTATGTTTCTCAATAATTTGCAGTTTGCAGATGATCTATATTCTCTGGATTCTACGCACTTTGCGTGAGGACTGAGTCACATCGAATTTGTTTTGATTGAAATTGTTCTAATGGCGTGAGATTATTCATTTTGTTGCTCTTTTTGGTCATAATGATAGAAGTTGTGCGTAGGATACCTAAAGAAACAGTTCAGAAAGTATTTTAAATTTTTACTCGCGAAGGGGAAACAGTGTTTACAAATCAGTGTATAAAACATCTGGAATCAATATATTAATGCAAATTTATGGAAATAGCAATTATAACTTATAATGTAAATGAGTACAATTTATTTTTTAAATGCTGCATATGTTTCTCGTCATGAATTTAGAGAGTTCAGATTTCATTGTTATAATATTTTTACTTTGGGACATGCAAAATTTAAAATAATGATTTTCAATTTTTATTTGCTTAAAAATAAAAATTATTTAAATGGTAAAAATTGAACATTTTGAATCTATATTGATGTGGATGCTCAATATTTAATTCCACTTTTTGTTTTTATTGGACCTGAAGTTTGGAAATTAAACATCTGGGCATTTGTGGGCTTCGTTGGCATCCTAGATATTGAAACCCCGTGTCCACAACTTGTTCTTACTTCCTAGACTTCTGACATTGATCAGTGATCACTACTAATGCAATTTGTTCTGACCATCGGGCTTAGCTATTGAGAAGGATATTTTTATTCTCCCCATTTTATAGTGCTGTTTTTTTTTTTATAATAATATGAATTATACTACAAAAATAAGTTTTGTATTAAAAATGGGAAGGCTATATTCGAACGATTTGTTGGCGTCAATACATCTGCCGGCTGAAGAAGATAAACACTCTTTGTAGTCCTGCAATCCAAAATCGGGGACTTGTTTTGCTACGTGGCTCGCGCAAATTAATCCGCCTTCCACTTGCACCGTTGGTATTTGATCCAAGAAACACGCGAAGCGAGACATCCCTGCGCGCAAAGACGGTGCTTCTTTTCTTTTCTTTTTTGAAAGGCTATTATTCTTGTTCCTCCTAATTATAGCGTCCTCTTTTGCTCAGAAAAAAATTATAAATTGATTTGATTCGGTTAATTTAGGAGGGAAAAGAAAAAAAGAACCCCTTTTCTGTGGTCTCCGAATTCTCGGGAGGCAGATCATGTAGGTGAAATAACAATCCATGGATTGGGGATCAGAAGAAAATCGGATGCTCCATTCAAAATCACAGTCGGTGCTGGATTCACATCACGATGTCCATATGTTAACGCGGCATTTATGGTCCCAGGTCAGATCCTGTATTAAATGCTCTTATCTCCATGAGTTGGCGTCTCTTTCACAATCTTATCGTCATCACTATGATTCTGGCTTAAGATTTTATTTCTCGACCACGCCGCTTCTTTTCCGCGCTTCATCCTTCTAGTTCTTGTGCAATAAAGTTTGCAGGGTTACGTGAATCTTTAACTTACTCTACTTAACAGTAACGGGCTCACAACGAGGGCATTTGGTCTAGTGGTATGATTCTCGCTTAGGGTGCGAGAGGTCCCGAGTTCAATTCTCGGAATGCCCCCATCTTTTGTTTTAATTCTGCTCTGTCATAGAAGAAATTCTGTTCTTTTACCTTGTTCCCCGAACAGTTTAACCCTTCGAATTTCAGCTAATGTCATATTCTCTCTAATCATTTGATTAAAAAAATTGCGACTTGAGTCATCAAATATTAAAGACTCCAGTTTAGAGTTTAGAACCAATGTGAAGTTGTCAATCATGCTTTGGCGGTGGAGAATCTTGGGGGCTGTGCGCGCGCGCTGCCTTTATTTTCTCTTCTTCGTTTTTCCCCCAAAGCAGAAGGAAAAGCAAGAAAACTTGGTCAAGCGTTATGATTATTTCCTACATTTTTGAAATGGCTATGTTCTTAGTATGTGTAAACCATTGAGGGAGTAGTTCCGAAGGCAATTGATCCAACAGAATTTAGTACTTGTTAGTTTCACGTTGTTAATTACGCACTCTTAAATTCAAAGTTGAGCCAAAAATAAAGCCTCGTAATCATGGGATTCAAAACTGAGAAAACGTAGAACCGTAGCATAGTAGATTTTATTTTAGCCTTCCTACGTTTCATGAATTGGCTCCCGCATCAATCCCTCATACTTCGTTACCCTGATCTCCTACACAATCAAAGTTTTTCTTTTTCCGTGTTCTCTTCATCCTCATCTATACTTGCTATATCATCATCTTTTTCTTCCTCGTCTCTACTTTCTGCATCATCATCATCCTCTCTTCCTCATTCTGTTCTTCCAGAAACTCATCATCCGGCAGCACAAAGCGCAGCTTCAGCCTTCCATCTTCTCTATTAGCGTAAAGAAACTCCCGTGTGGGTATTCTTATTTCTTTCAAAACAAATCTACCTTTGTCCCTGTAAGACTTGAACCAAACCCAAGGCTTCCCAGTGCTCCCTATGCATGAAATAGGAGGAGGGAACTCCAGCCCCCTGATCCTTGACTTTCTGCACTCTCCATATGAATCTTCTGGAGCGAAATTATTCTTCTTGATACCCACTTTCTCGCTTTGAGTTTCCCAACAACACTCATCCATTCCTGCTTTCAACTCTTCCGTATCGTCTGAGCTCTCAAAACCGAGGCCCTCTGTGCAAAAATGCAGACTATCAGAATTAAAAGATGAAAAACTATCGCTACTCTTGTGACGTATGATATGTTTTGATTCCGGTGTGCTCTGTTTTGAGTTGAGAACATCTTTATGATCAGGCTTTTGAAGGCCTGTTGATGGTGAAGTAGAAACAGGGTCAGAGGAAGAAGGGGATTGTGTAGGACTTTCATTGAAATGGAGTTCACCAAATAATTCAGTAATCGAAGATCCGTCAACGGGTCTGGCGGATCTAATTTTATTGAACGAGAGGGATTCAAGCAGAGTTGGGCTTTGTGGCAATGGATTCTCGAAATCAAGATCCTCTGGGGTGCTTGCAACAGAGGTTTGGTTTATGTCAGAGCCAAGGTCTAATGATGGTGAAGTTGGAAGAAAGGGAGATGAAGAGGAGGGTTGAGGACTCTCCTTGAAATGGAGTTCACCAAATAACTCCGTAAAGGAGGAATCGTCAGTGGGTCTGATGGTTCTAATTTGGTTCAACGAAAGGGATTGCATAAGCGTTGGGTTTTCAGGCAACGGGTTTTCAAATATGCGATGCAGGCTCGTGCCGGAAGCCATGGCCTTTGCTCTGTTTTTACTTTTCTAAGAGACGAGAGCAAAGACAGCAAAGATTGTTGAGAGGAGGAGACAAAAGGGGCGAAAAAAATAAAAGGGTCACGAGAATAGCTTGATCTAAAAAAGTCGAGAGCAAGATGCTATTAAGTAGGAGGTTCTATTTTTTTTCTCTTTGAATTTTTTTTTTGTGCGTGATAGTTTTGAAGAATCAATGGGTGGCTACAGAGATTGGTGTAAATTTGGCGACCACAAATGCCTATAAATTTCAGTAAGCAGCATGGAAAAGTTTCCATATTCATTTACCACTACGCGTAAGAGATAGATAGATTCTCTCTTTCAAATTCGAGGTCCCCTCGCCCCTCTCTCTTTCGGAAAAGCATCTAATCTTGAAGGGAGAAAA